GGCTGGAGTGCAATGGTGCGATCTCGGCTCACTGCAACCTCTGCCTCCCAGGTACAAGTGATTCTCCTGCCTCAGCCTCCTGAGTAGCTAGGACTACAAGTGCGTGCCACCACGCCCAGCTAATTTTTGTATTTTTAGTAGAGACGAAGGTTTCACTATATTGGCCAGGATGGTCTTGATCTCTTGACCTCGTGATCTGCCCACCTCGGCCTCCCAAAGTGCTGGGATTACAGGCGTGAACCACCACACCCGGCCTTATCTTGTTATTTATTAAAGAAATTCTCTGTAGCAACACTCTACTGATTGAATCTCCACGGTGTAATTTAATCTATCCTACTGCCTTTGTATTTAATTCAATTGGAAGTTAAATCCAGGGCCTATAACTGCAGACTCAGTTTTGATTTTTTGGCAAGAGTACTTAGCAGGTGGTGTGTGTAGTGTGTACTTCCGCCAGGAGGTACAGGATTCCTAGTTGTCACTCGTTTTATGATATTAGCTGTTCTTAGTCACTGACACATTAGGAGATCCACTGACGCATTAGGAGTAGTGCAGTGGTAATATCATATAATTCTTTATCTCACATATTGTAATAAACAGAAATTGTGATTACTCCAAGAGAACAGAAGAGTGAATAACTGTTTGAAAGGATCTAGAGGGTAAGAGCTCCTCAGCTGATTTTGATAGACATCCTGGTTTACAAATCACAGCCAAGGCCATTACCTCTCTGATTATTTAGAGTGTTCTACAATTGCTTTATGTGACTAGCTCCATGGATAGAAAATTCACTACTGTACAAGGCAACTTATTTCCTCTTTGGAGGTCCACACTGTGAGAGGTTACTTTCATGTTAGGCCTCCAAATTCCCTTTAATTTCTTCCTACTAGGCTTAATTCTGAAAGCATAAATCCAATCCATCTTCTCCATCATGACCCTTCATTATCAAGAAATAGTTATTGTCTCCTAATTCCCACTGTCTTCTCTCCAAACTAAACATATTCACATTGTCCTGGAATTGTGTGTGAATGTGAGTGCTTTAAAGAAATCATTTTAAACACTTACACATTCTTTTGTTTATCTCTTTCTCATGAATTTGATATACAGAAAATAATTCTTTACTTCTCAGGTTATTTGTGTGACAAATAAGAGTATATCTATATGCACTTATTTCTTTTCTCTTATTATTTTAAAGGTAACATTGAGAAGTGCTTGTGAAATAATCAATCTGTCTATTTTCAGTTTCCAAAGAATACTTAGAGTTGAATTTAAGAGCCATTTTATGGATTACTACCTGAATTTATCTAATTCCCAGTCACGTGACAAAATAAATTCGTTTTGCACATAAAACAAAATTTCCCTTTCCCACAGTCTTTGCTGTACTATCACATGCATAACCAAAAAACTTTCCTATGGTTCTTTCCTAGTGGGAACACAAGAGATTTTCCCATTGAGAGGGTGAGGGAGAGAGGAAAAGAGAAAGAAAGAAAATGAGAGAGATAGAGACTGCACATGAGAGAGAGAGAGAGAGAGAATTTGCAGATTCTGTTATCCAGCTGCTTTGGCAGCACTGGGTTGGACAAATGAAGCAATACATTTCTGTAGGGCAGAGACTCTATCTAATCAAGAATATTTTCGTCAAGAGCCTTGTAATCAACCATACATTCTGCAAATCCAGAAGTACAGATTGCCTTAGCAATGCTTCTTAACTTGTTGGTTTGATTCGAATTATTTCGGCAAACATTTGTATTTTTTATATCATCCCATTTCTCTTTCTCTTTTTAAAAATCAACTTTTCATTCTTGGGTGACATTATCTATTCTTATAATTTAAGAACGATTTAATACTACCCTCAATTCGCAAATTTATATATTAAGCTCTGACTTCTACATATATTCAAGGGCACATTTAATTTATAAGAGGAGCCTTAATTACATCCTTTGCTTAGTGTAAGTTCAAAGCATCTGGATCCGCCCCTACTCAGCAACATAGAATATCTCTATTTGGTCAGAGACTATGGCAGCCTGTCTTTTTCAAAAGGTTGCTGTGAGAAATGGCATTAATGAAGGGCATTTAGTCTAAATATTCCCTGGGCAATAAAAATGTTGTCCTCCTATCAACCCAGGCCATGAAATAGCTGTGCTCTTGAATGACATTATCCTGGCTTCAGATCAATTGCTTTTGCTGAACTGCATTATGACATTGTGGCAACTTTATATACTAACAGGCATCCAGCCATGTACAACCAGCACTTTATCTACTATAGGGATGTTGTTGAGGACTCTGTTCTCACCACTCTTTCCTTTAACAAACACCAACCAAGAGACTGTTGAAGCTCAGAAAGCAATACTCCAAAATGAAGACCTCAGAAGCCAAAGTGTTTCACTGATCTTCTCCTGCCCTCCTCTCTGTGGCCTCTCATTCTTTTCCAAGGCTAGCCATGGAAACTGGAGACCCTCTTCCTCAAAGCAGGTCATTGAAACCAGAACCCTTTTTCCTGAAGCCAGCCATAAAACTTAAAGATATTACACTAATTTTCCCCTATCTTTCTGTGTAAAAACTAGCCCTACAGAAACTGTCTGACCCATCTTGTTTGACTGTAGGTCGTAAGAATGCCCCCTTTCCAGAAACGGTCTTGCCCCATTCCCAGAAGGAAGGAATGCTAACCAGAAAGGCCAAGAAGAATCTGAAAGCACAGGCCATGCTGGGTTTCCTCACTTGGTCTAATGAGATCATACCCTTTTTGTCCAATCATGTTTATACATGGCTATCCATACTTTGTTAAACAAAAATGGAGAGCTTCCCCTGTATTTTTGGGTCTTCATCCTGAAGGCTCCTGTGTCAGGTTAAACTATGATCAAATACATTTTCATGCTTTTTGATTATTATCTGTCTTTTATCAGTTGATTTTCAGCAAACCTTCAGAGACTCAAGGGGAAAATTTCCCTTGGCCCCTACAAGATTTTTCTTGTTCTTCGTATTTTAAAAAAGTATTGTTTTACCGAGCAACTGTTTTGTTTTTAACTTATTTATATTATGATTTTGTAATTAATCTTTTTTTCACTCATTGCTTTGATAACTAAGAAAGTCAAATTTATGGTTCATGAATAAAATCTAATATGATCTTATGTTGATTTCCTGTGCTAATCTTATCATAAAGATAATTAACTCCTTGAAAATCTTTCACATTATCCTGACTCTATAATTTGTATATACTCTCCCTTCACATATTTGCTGAGTTGCCTCAAATCCTTTACATAATAATACATAAATGCCTATGAGATTATAGTACTTGCAACTTTGTATTATAGTTATTTTCTTATGTGCCTCTTGCATTGAGCCATGATAATCTTGAAGACCAGGACCTTAGTGTACATCCCCAGTGTTTAACACAGTATTTGGACCATTCTCATTAGCATTAGTATCTATTGTGTCCAGATCAGTGCCAGGCTCGTAGCTAAATCATTTCTAGTTCATTTAACCTTTAATAGGTATTGGCCTCTAGAGGGAGCTCCAGGCCTCTCTGACTCTTGCTGTCCCCTCCCTCCAAATGCCCTAAGGAAGACCGTCAGGTTACGGGACAGTCACTATCTCATAGTCTCTCTCTCTCTCTCTCTCTCTCTCTCTCTCTCACACACACACACACACACACACACACACACACACACATACATCTATCTTTTAGGAATATTTTTCCCTTTCTCTCACAAAATGGCCATTGGTCATAGTGATTTTCTGACTCGGAATGTGATGTTTCTCTGTTCACAGAATCGCTTAGGTCAGCTAGAGCAGACCAGTGGAAAAGGAAGTGGAGGGGTTGAATAGATCCCTAGGTTGGTATGACAGCAGGACCTTGACACTCCAAATGTCCCTCCCCTTTCTCTGAAGGCTCCCTTCTAGGAGCTGAACTTTCCAGTGTGAAATAAGCTCTTCCTCATTACTGCGCAGCAGGGAGTGTGAACTCCAGTGAGACCCTGGGGTTCTCCAGGGCAGTGCTGGGTGTGAGTCTGCAATTCAAAGAATGTGAAATTACACTGGAAGAAAAAGAACCTGCGTTCACTGTACATTTCTGTCTTCTAATTTTCCTTCATTGAGTACTTCCTAAATTAAAAAAAGGCAATAACCAGGAAACTGTGAGTTTTGCCAAATTGCAACATTATTTGGAAGTGGCTGGACCTAACTCTACCTTAACCTTTATAGATACATTAAATTTTCCAAGTGAATCTTCTGATATCCATGACATTTTTCTTTGAAGGAATTTTCATTACCCTTAACAAACGATTATAAATCTGAATAGAAGGTCTTCTGGAATCACGTTCCTTTTGAAACACAAATACAGCCTTTAGCATGAATTTCAAGTGAAATAGCAACTCTGTAGGAAGATGAAATATGAGTGCACAGGGATGTAATTCTGGGACCTTTCCCTAGCACACTAAGAGCAAAACATGTAAATGACAACTGGCCTCATCTAGTTCAGAATTCTTACCAGGACACATTTTTTTTAACGGTTGGAAGGCTGTTTATATAAAGGGGATATATATAAACAAGTTGGCTGAGTTAAAACTGCTTACTTTCCTGCAGGGTTCATTACAGGCTTTTTAGGGACCCTGGAAGCAGAGAGCAGTTGTGCATTCCTCATGTAAAATAACAGAGAAGAAACATTCAATTCTTGTGAAAAATTAGAATCCGGGCAGTAAATAGTAGTGAGAAGGCAGCTACTTTTCTAAGAATTCAGGTGATAAAATTTCCCTTTCTTTCTTTTTTACTGAGAAGCGAACATATAAACTATGCTTTTCTGTCTTAAGAACATTTTCCCCTTGTCCACCCTAAGATTCTGTTTGATGGACTTAATGCACACTTGACCAGAAGGTTCTGTATGATGTGTACCTAAGTCACAGGAAACAAATCTTTCTATCTTAAGTGTTTTTCCTGGAGAACGCCCACTCTCAACCCAACACACACATTCAGACACGTGGGCCAAGCTGTGTTCACACTTGGGGCAGGGAAAGCGAGGCCAGTACCTCATGTGAGACTTCACATCCAGCAATTCCAGGGCAGTGACCCGAGGCTCCCCAGCCAGATTTTGCAAGATCTTCAGCCGCGGCCCACAGTGCTTATAGAACTCTGTGCAAATATTCAGTAAGGACTCCCGGGGTCTTCTGAACTCTTCCCGAGCAATTCGTTCATCCAGTTCCTCTCTGGGAAGGCCTTGCCCTTCCTCCAGTAAATGAAGGTTTTCCCTGGGAAATTGTAAAAGATTAACTAGGGGTCTCAAAATGTATTCATGTGGCAGTTGTGAGAAGAGGGTATCACACCGAAGAAAAATATAAGAATCCTAATGAGTTAACGAATCAGTAGGATGAGGCCAAGGAGAACCTCATCCGAAGGATAAAGAAAACTTCTCAGCCTAGAAGAGATTGTCATCCCAAATTGTAGTAAAGCTACTTTTTGGGGTTTACCCGGAAATAGTATGTTATTTGTCAAACGAAATCTAACAGAGCCATAAACCAGTTTAAAAGGCAATCATCTCAAAATGTCAGAATTGGTATGAAATTAGAGCAAGTTTTTCTGTACCTGATAAAGTGCAGTTTGGCTCCTTGTTCCTGGTACCTGGGAGTTAGAGAAACAGTCTACATAACTATTAGAGCAAGAACGGGGTCGTTTGGTTGGGGCTTCTTATAGACTTCTTCATATGACAAGTCCTTGAAGCTATATATTTTGATAAGCTCACAAATATACATATATTACTCCTAAAGTATAAAAGCTTTATCTTTCATTTGGCTACCACATATACTGCAATTACAGCTGCTACAAAAGCTGTTTTATTGTTGTGTGATTTGGGTAAAGACAACTATTATAAAAATATATACAAACTCATGGAATATAGCCAGATGAGATTAATTTTTGGACATTTTGAAATTTAAGTTATAGTTTTAATACCATGTGCTCTGTCTTAAGCGATGGGAGGGAGAATCATGGCTGACTTCCTTTCAGTTCTGGAGATTTACTGCTTTGTGATTCATGGATATTAAGACTTTAGAAGCCCTCTTTCTTCTTTAGAAGCCCTCATTTAACCCAATGAGCCTAGAGAAGTCCCTAAATATCACTTAAACTACAGTATATCATTTTCCCTTAATATAGGAAATTGAGGCATGAGTTAACCATCACACCAGGCAATTTATAGCTGGATTTGGAATTTATTTTTGTTTTATTTTTAATATGAATATATATGATGAGCAGGGAATTAACTTTACATGAATAATGATACACACTTAAAAATAGGCTTCAGAGAGAGTGAAAATTTATTGAATTTCTCCTTATGATTTCCATGCCAACTACTTCATACTGGGAAAAGAGAACTTTTTCTTAAGCTGATTTTTGGTTTGCCCTATCTTAAATCTTCCTTGTAGAAGGAAACTAATTAGGCTTTTTGTGTATTTCAGAATCTTTAAAGCTAACACAGATGGAACGAAACGGGTAAAATATTAACTAGTATAGCCAGTAGCTGAGTTACACCAAAACAAGAGAAGGAGATTAAGTTAACAACCATGAAAAGCATCATCTGAGGGCATATGTCAAAGTTTGGATGAAATGTCTGCAGAAAATCTGTCCAGATGAAGGTAAGTTGACTCTTAGTGCCCTGGGAATGAGAAACCACCTCCTGATTATTATTGTTTATTTGCCTTTTGTTGAAGGCAAATGAAACAACACTGGACTAGTTCAAAGACCACCCAGGAGGCAGAGAACATCTAGCAGGCTCAAGCAAACAAAACAACACAAATGCCTATTTATGAAGTTGGTTTAGATTTCTCTGGCAATTTCAAAAGAAGCCTTGGTATTTTCTTGTAACTCTAAACTCTCACCTTCTTTTCTTTTCCTTGGAGGTTTTCACACTCAATATTGACTATTTTCAGGATTCCTTTCATTCGCAACAGCTGACATTCGGGTTGTATGAAATTGAGAGACCATAGAAGAATAAGGGCCAGTGAATTACCTGGTGTTCACCCCAGACGACATGGTGTGATTGGCTGTGGTGGTTCCCTTATGACCTTGGTCACACCTGCTCATCTGTGGGGCTGTCATGGGCCTGTAACAATGACAGTAATCACCACAGCAAAACAACAACAACAACAGAAGTGGAAACATTTATTAAATCCTCAAGTTACTGAAGCACACATAAGTTTTAAGTTAGTTTTAGAGTCTTCAAAAGACAGGCTGTCTAGCTTTGGGCTTTTCTGTTTGTTCTGAGAGGCACTTTAAAGGAACATTGATTCCCAGGGGTTTATAAGCTCATCATGATTTAATTTCTTCCACTTCTTGGCTCTGAGTAATAAACTCATCAAAATGACTCTTCCAACAAGACATTTATGAAATATCTACAGACTTCTAAGTCTGTACCAGTGGAGAGTTAAGAGCTCATTCTTCAGTTTTACTGAGTAGTTCACCATTCTAGATGATAAGTAAAAGGCAAGGATGTATGTACCACTTTGGCCACCTACACTACAACTACATTATCTACATTAACTACACCTACATTATCAACTACTCTATTTTTTCTGAGAAACTATCAAAGAATAAAAGAATTCTCCTAGTCACATCACACCTAACGCTACCCAGGAAAGTGAGTAAATTCGTATCTATTGTAAGTCAGTAATTTAGATGGTTAGTAATAGATTTGAATTGTCTCATTTTATATCTGCCGGATTTACTTTAAATAATAGGTAAAAATTGCCTCTGTATTGGCATCTAGGACGAAAAAGGCATAATGCAGTTTTTTAAAGCAACTGCTTTTATGAAATCATCAAGGCTTGCTTCTTTGTTGCTTACTTTCTGTCTGCTGGGGATGGCTAGAGAGTAAGCTTTTAACAATCACACCAGATCTCCTTGTCCTGTGCCTGTTGTGATAGACACAATTTAGAGATGGCTCCCAATATCTTTGCCCCTTGGTGTTACTCTAGTGATTATGTTACATTATGTGGCCAAAAGGGGGAGTGTCTGCATAGGCCTAATCTAATCATACCAACCCTTCAAAAGCAGAGTCTTCTCTGGCTGGGGGCAGAGAGATTTGAAGCATAAGGATTCAAGGTGCTATTGCTGGCTGGAAGGTAGAGGGGAGCATGTGAGAAGAAATGCAGGTGCCTTCTCAATGCAGAGTGGGGCCTGGCTGACAGCCAGCCAGGACATGGGACCTCAGACCTAAAGCTGCATGGAGCTAGATTCTGCCAAAAAATTGAATGAGCTTGGAAGTGCATTCTTCCCCAGTGCCTTCAGATAAAAGTTCGGACTAGCTGACAACTTGACTTCCACCTTAAGAAACCCTGAGCAGAGAATCCAGCTGAGCCCGCCTGGATTCCTGGCCTACACAACTGTGAGACAATAAGTGGGTTTTGCTTAAAGGCTGTTAAGTTTGTATAACATGTTATACAACAGTTAAAACTAATGTACTTGTGATATATTTATGTAATACTACCTATACAATTGTTAAATTTCTTTTGTCGTGAGATTAAAAAAACTAGGAATGTGGAGAAATTAGGGGATTCTTACCTTCTTTTTGTAAACACAGTGAAGCCAATTTTGGTTTGAGTAACTACTACCAACGAATGAGGCTAGTCTTCTCTGCCAAAAGAATATTAAATGCACTGGAATATTTAAAGCCACAGAATTTTAAATGCTAGAGCTCCATCCATAACTCTTTGTGACATTTTGAGTAAGTCAGTTTTGGATAAGTTAATTGACTTATCCTTATAAAAAGGTATAGAAATGAGGAAAACTTTAACATTATGTAATATGAGGAGAAATAGGCTGACCATGGTGGCTCACACCTGTAATCCCAGCACTCTGGGAGGCCGAGGTGGGTGGATCACTTGAGGCCAGGAGTTCAAGACCAGGCTGGCCAATATGGGGAAACCCCATCTCTACTAAAACTACAAAAATTATCCGGGTGTGGTGGCACATGCCTATAATCCCAGCTTTTTGCAGGGCTGAGGCATGAGAATTGCTTAAACCTGGGAGGCAGAGGTTGCAGTGAGCCAAGATCATGCCAGTGAACTCCAGCCTGGGTGACAGAGTGAGTCTCTCTCTTTCTCTCTCTCTCTCTGTCTCTCTCTCTCTATATATATCTATATATAGATATATAGATATAGATAACTATATATCTGTATCTGTACATATATAGATATAGATATATAATAGAAATACAGTGGCAATTGGGAACTACTGACTGCTTTTCTTTCCTCTAGTTATAGGAAAAAGCTAGTTACATAACCAGATGGGTACAGAAGGAAGAGTGTAAGTCTTTCCTTCCTCTTTAGGATATTCTTCTGGGACTTTCATGAAACCATCAGCAATAGCATAGAAAACTCTCTCTCCTTGGAGGAGGCAATTTGTCATGGCTTTCTGTGCCAACTCTTCCCATTTCCTTAGATTAGGTGCATATGAACATTTCAGGATGATAGTCTACAGAAGGCTTTTGGGCAATATTCTGCTTGTCTAGTTTGGCAATGTAGCTCATGATTAGAAACTAAACATCTACTGATGTTAATGAATTACAATCCACTTTCTGTCTTTCTTGCTGATGCATGCTGAAAAAGTCCTTCTTGGACTAAAGGGCTTCCCCCTTACCAACCCAGCAAGTTGGGGCTGGGGGAGTTGGTGCCTTTTGGTGGAGGCATAGACAATTTCACACTAAGGATCTGGAACTTTAGATTGGACACACAGCATGGCAGAATGGAATGGAGGAGCAAAGGTAAAAGGTTTCCCCATCCCTATCCTGGGGAAGAATATTTCCTGGCAGCTAATTTAGATGGGAACGGAGCAGGAAAGCCCATCGTATGCGTAGTGTCCTGCATCCACCCACTCAGATTTTATTTTTATTTTTGTCTCATCCAGGGCTCCCTGCCTGCCCCTTTCCTGCCATATGGCAGTTTAGTGACTCTGCTTCTGCACCCAAGCATCTTGCGACAGGACTAACTGCTTGAACTTTGTTTAGGGCTGAACTCTGGTGCCAATTTACCTTCCCAGTCCCAAATTTCTCATCTCCCAGCATTGTTTAGTCCTGTCCCACAGAGAATCTATTAATTCTAATAGTAGGGCAACATTCTGCTGTTTATACTGGTTATGTAGTTTCTGAAATTATAGTTAAAAAACACAACACTTCACAAACAGTAAAATAATAAAAGAATACTTAGTTGGAATTGTAGGCATTCCATGTCTCATAAAATAATATAATAACTATTAAAAATGTAGATTACCTCTTTAAATTCACTAAATTGGCCCTCTTACACAAGACGTGTTTACCACTGGGTCATAACTGCTGGAGAAGCTCAGCAAGCTATATGCAAATGTGTGTTTAGCAATGATAGTAAGAATATTATTACTATTACTACTACTACTACTAATCAGAGTGCTTAACATTATTTATTCAAATAACTCAGGAATTGTTCACAGTTATAAGGCATAAAGGGCTGAGTTTAGGAGATATCTGTAAATAAAGATTGGGTTTTAGATTTTTACCCATCACATTTTTTTTTTTTCCCCAGTGGATACACATGATGTAAAGCTGTAGCTATTTCTGCCAATGGGATTACCTGGTGAGGACCTCTACACTGTATAAAAGGGCCTGTAGGGACGTCGCAAGAGCAGCAGTGGCTGCAATCTCCTCTCGGGCAGCAGGTACTGTCTCCACCTGTGATGTCTGCCTCTTTAGCTTTTGTAGGTAACATGGAACTAAGGCTTCCAAGACCATCAGCATCTGAAGACTTTAAGCGACAGAAAGAAAACCGAGTCACCTTTTACATTCTACTTTTGTTGGTTGTGTCACATTTAGGAGCATAGAACAATGAAAAGCATCTAGAGATAAAATGAATTCTAAGCCCCCTTGCCTCTCCAAATCAAAAGTAGTTAAAGCTGCTGGAAATGTTGACCAACAATTATTAATTCACTAACCACCTGCTAAAAGGCGATGAATCTTGCCTTAAAGAAACATGTGATCTAGTCGGGGGAATTAGCCATATATACAAATAAATGATTGAAAGAATAACAGAATGATAATAGGTGGAGCTATATAGTCCATCTAGAGAAACAGGCTTCAGAACAAAACTTCAATTCAGGAGTTTGCTGAGAGTGATTTTCCAGCTGCAACAGTTTTGAGACAACATAAAACCCTTTCATGGGAGGCTGGCTTCCTAAGCTTAAGGAATTAAATAGCAAACAATGTTGGAAACAGCCATTATGATGAGGTCTGACAATGCCTGCTTACCAACGTGAGTGAACACCACTCACTGGATAGGGCCCACACTCAATTTAGTATTGGGGTGTCAGAAACACCTTGAAGGGGAAATGGAGATTAAGTAGTTATTATGCAAAGTGGGTTCCCCCTCTAAAGTTGTAAAGTGTATAACACCATCAATATAGATTTTTTTTTTTTTGAGACAAAGTCTCACTCTGTCAGTCGCCCAGACTGCAGTGCAGTGGCATGATTTCGGCTCACTGCAACCTCTGCCTGGGTTCAAGTGATTCTCCTGCCTCAGCCTCCCCAGTAGCTGGGATTATAGGCGTGCACTACGGTGCCCGGATAATTTTTGTATTTTTGGTAGAGACAGGGTTTCACCATGTTGGCCACGCTGGTCTCAAACTATTGGCCTCAAGCAATCTTCCTGCCTTGGCCTCCCAAAGATCTGGGATTACAGGCATGAACCACCGCACCCAGCCATCTTTTCTTTAGAGATTCCCCAATGATGTTAAAGTTTACAAATTGTGGGTTCTAGAAAACAGCAGGGATTGGTTGATATCCCAGAGAATCTGAAATCAAGTTTCTTTGATCCATTCTTTTCCCTACAGATACCAATGAGTTTTTGCTATGCTCTTTAAAATACTGAATACTGGTTTCTGGTAATATAATTTTGCCTATAATGTGTGCTCTACAAGCAGGAAATGGCAATTATCAGAATTTGATGGGTATGGAGAAAGAGCTATGATACTTTTTTGAGTTCTCCTATTTTTTGGCAACTTAAAAAAGGAGGCAAGAAGTCGGTTCTGCTTTCTGTAATAATAAAAAGTACCTTGCTGCAAACTAATTGTATTACTAGAAAGGGTGGACAAAAATTTTAAAACATATTGAAGGTATCAGGTAGAAGCTAAGGCTAGCAGATACCTTTTGTAGGTACCAGACTTCTGGGGGAAAGAAAGCTTCTTCGGTTCATCCAGACATTGTGCAGCACTCTTTTTTATAGGCATCTGCTAGTTTGTAAATTGCTTAGGGCCAAAAGGCTAAGGAAAAATCCAGGCAGAAATGTCAGCTAAGAGTTATGAAGCTAAGCAGAATTTTCAGTAGCCTCATTATGGCGAAGAAAGATATATTGGAGTTCAGGGACTTCCAAAGAGGAGTTAGACCCATGGAAGGCTGTATCCTAGGAGTGTGAAATAGATAGAACAGCCCTTACAAAGACTGAAACCCAACTTTAAATCAAATGAATCACAGACTGAATTAAAATGATCTGCCCTACCACAGTTACTAGTCAGAGAGTAAAATGAATCATTTTTGGAGGAAGATAACATCGGGTAGATCCTCAAAGCATTTCCAACTTTTTTAAATGCAATACTCAGTAGTCAAAATTATCCAGTCCTGCTAAAACCAAATGATCAAAATCCAAGGAAAAGAACAGACAATATAAACAGAGCCACAAGTGATCTACATATTAAAGTTATCAGAGACAGATTTTTATAAAATAATGATTAAAATGTTAAATAAGAGAAATAACAAAATGGATAATTTCATCAAAACTCTGAAATCTATTAAAAAAGTGGAAATTCTAAGAACTGAAGACTGAAATATTTGAAATAAACAACCTGAAAGATAAGTGTTAATGGTAGATTAGATACAGGAAGAGATGAATGTGAACTGTAATAAAGAACAATGGAAAACATCAAGACAGAAGAGCAGAGGGTAGAAATGATAGAAAATACAGGAAAGAACATAAGAGACATATATAGAGCACGGGGTTAAGGAGGAAAAAAAATATATATATACATAAATGGAGAGGGGAGAGAAAATGGGATAAAGGTGATATTTGAAGAGTTATTTGTCAAATTTTCTAAAATTGTTGAAAGTTATCGAGCTTTATATTCAAGAAACACTATGAACCCCAAGAAGTATGAATACAAAGAAAAATCACAACTAGGCACACCACAGTCAAACTGCTTAAAACCCAAGGCAAAGAGAAAATGTTAAAAGTAGCCAGAGAAAAAGACACATTAGGGCGGGGCACAGTGGCTCACGCCTGTAATCCCAAGACTTTGGGAGGCTGAGGTGGGCAGATCACGAGGTCAGGAGTTTGGGATCAGTCTGGCCAATATGGTGAAACTTCGTCTCTACTGAAAATATAAAAATGTAGCTGGGTGTGGTGGTGCATGACTGCAGTCCCAGCTACTTGGGAGGCTGAGGCACGAGAATCACTTGAATCCAGGAGGTGGAGGTTGTGGTGAGCTGAGATCGTGCCACTGCACTCCAGCCTGGGTGACAGAGCGAGATTCCATCTCAAAAGAGGAAAAAAGAAAAGAAAAAAAGAAAAGGACACATTAAATTCAAATGTGCAATAAAATCTAATGCTGATTTTTCAACAGATATAAGTCAGTAGAAAATGGAATATCTTCTTTTTTATTTTATTAATTAATTTTTTTTTGAGACAAGGTCTTGCTCTGTTGACCAGGTTGGAATGCGGTGGTGCAATCTCAGTTCACTGCAGCCTTATCCTGGGCTCAAGCAATCCTCCCACCTTAGCCTCTTGAGTAGCTGGGACCACAGACATGCACCACCATACCCCACTCATTTTTGTATTTTTTGTAGAGACGGGGTTTTGCCACGTTGCCCAGGTTGGTCTCAAATTCCCAAACTCATGCACTCTGCCTGCTTTGGCTTCCCAATGTGCTGGGATTACAGGCATGAGCCACCGCGCCTGGCCTGAATATTTTCTTTAAATTAAAAAAAAAAAAACAACTGCCTGCCGGGCCCGGTGGCTCATGCCTGTAATCCCAGCACTTTGGGAGGCCGAGATGGGTGAATCACCTGAGGTCAGGAGTTCGAGACCAACCTGACCAACATGGAGAAACTGTGTCTCTACTAAAAATACAAAATTAGCTGAGTGTGGTGGCACATGCCTGTAATCCCAGCTACTCAGGAGGCTGAGGCAGGAAAATTGCTTGAATCTGGGAGGTGGAGGTTGCAGTGAGCCAAGATTACACCATTGCACTCTAGCCTGGGCAACAAGAACAAAAACTCCGTCCAAAAAAAAAAAAAAAAAAGTCAAAGGTAGAAAATAATAAAGATAAAAAAGGAAAGAAAAGGCAGACAATAAAACTACAATAGCAAAAATCAACAAAGCCCCAAATACTGATTATTTGTAAAGGGAAAGCTATTGATAAACTCCTGGAAAGAATAATAATAAGGGAGGGAGCAAAAATTCCCAGTATTAGAAATAAAAAGTGAACACAATAAAAACCCCATAGTTGTTAAAAATTTAAAAAAAGAGAATATCAGGAACAAATTTATGCCAATAAATTCAGGTACTTAAATTAAATAGAAAAATTCCTAGAAAAATGTGACTTACCAAAGCCACCACCAGGATAAACAATCTTAATTTTAAAATGTTCCCACAAGAAACGACATTACTTACAGTTTTGTGTATAAATTCTACTCAATATTTTGGAAAGACAAAATGCTCATCTGAGGCAGGCACAGTTGCTCTGCCTGTAATTCCAGCACTTTGGGAGGCTGAGGTGGGAGGAGCACCAGCCTGGGCAACACAGTGAAACTTTCTTTCTCTCTCAAAAAATCAAAAAAATTAGCAGGGTGTGAAGGCACCCACTTGCAATGCCTGCTACTTGGAAGGCTGAGGTGGGAGGATTGCTCGAGCCTGGGAGATCAAGGCTGCAGTGGGCCATGATCCTGATACTGAACTCCAACCTTGGCAACAGAATGAGACTCTGTTTCAAAAATTAAAAAAACCTAATCCACACTAAATTTCTACAGAGAATAGGAATTTTAAAAAAAAGGAGTGGGGGGCTGGGCGCGGTGGCTCACGCCTGTAATCCCAGCACTTTGGGAGGCCGAGACGGGCGGATCACCTGAGGTCAGGAGTTTGAGACCAGTCTGGTCAACATGGTGAAACCCCCTGTCTACTAAAAATACAAAAATTAGCTAGGTGTGGTGGCGGGCGCTTGTAATCCCAGCTACTTTGGGAGGCTGAGGCAGGAGAATTGCTTGAACCCAGGAGGCAGATGTTGCAGTGAGCCAAGATTGTGCCATTGCATTCCAGCCTGGGAAACAAGAGCGAGACTCTGTCTCAAAAATAATAGAAAATAAAAAGGGGGGGTTGAGGGAGACACTTTCCAATTTATTTTATGAGTCCAGCTTAATCTTCATATCCTTGATACTATAGCCTATAGTATAGTCAGGCTATAGTATTATTACAAGGACTTTATAATAATGGAGGGTTACAAATAAACCTGCTAAAATGTTTACCAGTGGGTAGTTAATAAAGTAGTAGCTAAGCAAGACATCCTTTATGTTTAAGCACTTGTAACTTTTTTAAGTATCCAGAATTGGTTTATCTTGAATGACATAGAACTACCTAGAATATCTCTTCTACGCCTAACTTCCCTGTGATCCTAGCAATAAAATTCATTAGATAATACCTTTATAAAAAATAAAAACTACAGATACAGCTCTCATTAACATAGTTGTAAAAATGCTAAAAAAATTGCAAACCAAATCTGGCAATACTGAAAAATGATAATTATAATATACAACCCAAATACAGTTTATTTTTAAGGAGGCAGGAAAGTTTTAATTTTGAAAATAAATCAGTGTAACCTATAACACTTGGAAAATAAAGAATACAAATCATATAATCATCTCTATAAATAGGAACATTTAGTAATATTCATTGTCCATCAATAAGAAAACTCAACTAAACTAAGAATACAAGGCAGATTCCCTAATAATTAATTTATTAATGAGTAATAAAATCACTTCCTTAATCTTTACTGGTATATTACAACAAAATCCTTTAGCAAATATTATTCTTAGTGATGAAATATTGGAAATCCCCTCCATACCCTGAGATCAGAAATGAGACAAAGATCCCACCATCATCACCATCATGACTTCTTTATTTTTTTTGAGACAGAGTCTTGCTCAGTCGCCCAGGCTGGAGTGCAGCTGTCTCTTATACACATCTAGATGTGTATAAGAGACAGGTAATATTCATTGTCCATCAATAAGAAAACTCAACTAAACTAAGAATACAAGGCAGATTCCCTAATAATTAATTTATTAATGAGTAATAAAATCACTTCCTTAATCTTTACTGGTATATTACAACAAAATCCTTTAGCAAATATTATTCTTAGTGATGAAATATTGGAAATCCCCTCCATACCCTGAGATCAGAAATGAGACAAAGATCCCACCATCATCACCATCATGACTTCTTTATTTTTTTTGAGACGGAGTCTCGCTCTGTCGCCCAGGCTGGAGTACAGTGGCGCGATCTCGGTTCACTGCAAGCTCCGCCTTCCGGGTTCACGCCATTCTCCTGCCTCAGCCTCCCAAGTAGCTGGGACTATAGGCACCCGCCACCGCGCCTGGCTAATTTTTTATATTATGTAGTAAAGACGGGGTTTCACCGTGTTAGCCAGGATGGTCTTTATCTCCTGACTTCGTGATCCGCCCACCTTGGCTTCCCAAAGTGCTGGGATTACAGGCATGAGCCACCGCGCCCAGCCTCCATCATCACTTCTATTCCATTTTGTATTAAGGTTCTAGTCAGTGCATTAAGGACAGAGAAAGGAATAACGTGTATAAATAAGAATTTGAAAGGATAAAATACAACTCTCATGATTTGCAGATAACATAATTAATCAAATAGAAAACACTAAGAGATCACACATATAAAATAAAAAATACTGCTAACTTCATTTGAAAATGGGCAGAAGACTTCAGTAGGCACTTTGCACAAGGAGATGTCCAAATTTCAATAAACATTTATCTGAAAAGCTTCCAAACCTTCTAATTTGCAAGAGGAAAATGGAAATTAAAATGATAATGAATGTCACTACAACCCAAATAAAAAGACGGAAGATAACAAGTGTTGATGAGGCCATAAAGTACTAGAACATTTACATACTGTTGGTGGGAATGAAAATTGAAACCACTTTTTGGTAGTATCTACTAAAGCAAGAAATACTCATATTCCATGACTTAGCCTAGCATTTCCATCCATAGATATGCATACATATTTGTGTACAAAAACATTCACTGTAGCATTATTTATAATACCTTCAAACCAGATCCAACACAAATGCCTGATAACAAGAGAAGAAATAAATAAATTGTAGCATAGTCATACAGTGAACTATTGTAAGTGAATGAAAAAGAATCAACTACTGTTACACACATTTATATGCATTTATATGAACGAATCTCATGAAATAATACTGAATCACAGAAGTCAGCCATTAAAGAGTAGCTACTATACTATTTCAGTTAAATAAATTTCAGAAATAGGCAAAACTGATTTATCATATTAGAAATCAGGATAGTAGTGCCTCTATCTGATTTTTCTATCCAAGTGGTAGGTAGATGTGATAACATTATGAACACTTATGGAACTGTAAAATTGTGATTTTTAAATGTTTTATGTGAATGTTTCACTTAAATACTTTTTTTAAAAAAAATTAAGCGCAACAGAGACTTGCTATTACAAATGTTGAAGTCCTGTAAGTATGTTACTTATTCCCATGAGAGACATCCCAGGGAACCACTGCTTAAGAAACCTTGACCTTACTGAGACATCAAGATGTCATCCGGTTTAAACTGACAGAATGGAAAATTAGGGAGGATTTAAAAAAATTCTAATTTAACTTAACAATATTAGACTGGCCTTTAACTCACAATGACAAGCGAATTTGATTGTGAACTGTCATACCTTTTGATTTCAATGTGTTTCAATTTTAACGTGAAAGATAATTTTATGACTCAATGGAAATTTGGTAAAATTTGAAATGGAGAATTTTTTAGTCAAACTTAGGTGTTCCCTATGTTGTGGGAATTTTAATATTGGAGAATCTATATGCATTTTATTATTGCAGTGTCTCAATTGCAGTATCTCTGACATATCCAGTTAACAGTGTAGCTGGACACACTTGGAATGGAAAATAGAGCAGAGAGAAGATGTTTACAATCGTCTGTAGAATGGATTTGGAGTTAACTTAATGCAGGATTCGATCCATTCTGGAACTTTTTCTAGATCTGTGGTATTATAGGAAGAGCAGGAAAGTGGGAGTAGGACCATCCTGCAGCTTTGCTCTCCTGAGGGCCACAGCCACATCTGTGCCTGACCACAGGCACACTGTTTTTCTCCCCATTGCTCAAGAAGACAAAAATTCGAGAATGTTGGGGAAAACATTTCTTACTCATTCTTCATGTTTTCTTCCAGTAAAAAAGAGTTCAATTAATATAAATCCTGGCTCTTCTTGGCCCTTATTCATTCTCTTATGGGGGAGAGAAACAGGCTTAAGGTGCAGGGAAAATGTATAAAGATATATTCGGCATAATCAGCCTGGCTCCTTCCTTCTTCCTGGAAGAGCCTGTCAACAGAGTACAGCTTTTAATAGATCAGATTTAAATCTCAGACCAGAGCCAACATCTTTGAATTGGGATGACTCACTCTTCATGGGAGTCTTTTGAATTCTCTGCACTTGGCAAAATGAAGGCAAGATTGATATTCTTGCCCCTTGTGTTACAGAGATTCTTATTGCCTCTTGAAAGGAGTTTTCTTAAATAAGTATCTGTTATGACATTTTGTTTGCTACTAATTTACATTACTTGTGAGGAAAAATATTTTCTAACAAGACTAAATACCTTAGCATCTACACAAGATCCAAATTAAGGGATTTCAAATGAATGAAGATATACTATTGTTTTCCAGAACCTATGCTATGTTTCCTAAACTTAGTTTGTTTCTTCTTTTCTTTTTTCTCTTTTTTTTCTTTTCCTGACAGTCTTACTCTGTTGCCCAGGCTAGAGTGCAGAGGTACAATCACAGCTCACTGCAGCCTTGACCTCCTTGGATTAAGTTATCCTTCTGGCTCAGCCTCCCAAAAAGTTGGGACTACAGGCGTGCACCACCACACCTGGCTAATTTTTAATTTTTTAAATTTTTTGTAGAGACAGAGTCTCACTATGTTGCCCAGGCTAGCCTTGAACTCCTGGGCTAAAGGAATCTTCTTGCCTCAGCCTTCCAAAGTGCTGGGATTATAGGTGTGAGCCACCACACCTGGCCTAAATTTACATTTTGAAAGTTTACTTGTCAGAATGTTACAGACTGATATTACTCAGCATAACCTTTGTATTCATTCAATTTTATTTTCTTTGCTGTATTTACTTATGACAAGGCACAGAATAAAGGGCTGCAGATACCTTCTGAATGATTCAGGAGCATATGCCACCACAGTGACACAGAGCTTAATGGCTTCACTGATAGAAAATGTCAGATCTTCGTTTCCATAGCAGAAATCTGAAGGAACAAAAAGTAAAGGCACACCGTCAGAGTGGATTCAGCAGGAGATAAAGAAGCACCTATTACTCCTAATGTTATAATTCCAGTACATACTATAGCTTTTTCTTGTTAAATTTTATTCCTACACTGTGAAAACTACTAATTTCTTCATCTAAAGGGAATGAAATTCTGTCTTCTAGTTTTGAACAATCAGATGTAAAATAAAAGTACTTTTCTGGTGTGTTTAAAAAAATCTCAGATAATAGAAGATACTGAAGGGCATTTCAGTTGTCTGAGGTTGAGGCTTTATCCTTGAGTTGTCTCTGGTTCTACACATTCCATGATAATAAAAGACCATTTTGGAGGGTTATTCACTTAAGAGTTACCCAAGATAACCCAACTTTCTGAAAATTGCAGTGCTAGAGCAATGGTCTACTGAGCATCATTTTAATACAGTTTTCATGGCAGGTAATTCTTTACTCTTTAGGATTCATAAGAAATTTAAGAAAAAAAAAGTACTCATTCAATTTCGACTACTGTTTAATTTATTTTTGCTACTTTGATTTAGCTATATATATACACACATTTAAGTATATGTATATGTGTGTATTTTATATAGATATATATGTACACACACACACATGTATTTAACAATTGCAATGAGAGAAAGAATGTCAAAGCAAGTTTTGCTTTTACCTAATGACTTAAGAGGCTTCTCAGCTTTGACCAGTTCTAAGATGTCTAATATGTCGGTGGTCTCTCCCTCTAGGGACTGCAGCAAGTCAAACAGGCACTGAGCTGACACACCTTTGCTGGGCCCATTATTGGCAGCATCCTGATAAAGAAAAACAATTTTAGTTTATTGACTCCCACCACCGTACAACTATAGCTTGACAGGAATTCAAATTTTATAAACGCTATTACCAGTAACAACTACAACATCTACCTGGAATTCAGTTTACATAATTCTGCATCCAGCAATGCTGTGATTTTGGAGTGGTACACCTGACTTTTAAGGGATCTATTAAATTCTAATCTAGAACAAAAGAGGTATTTGTAAAAGTTCATAAAAATACAGCAATATATGAACTTCCAAAAAGTTCATATCAATGATTCCTTTAATCGAAGATGGTAGAACTAAGGAAATTTCTATAATTGATTGGTTGAATACTACAAATATGTTTGAGGAACATATCCTTATTTTAACTAACAACCCTGGGAATTTCCCAGGTCTTCTTTGATAATGTATCTCCACATGGAGATACTTACAATTTCAAATCTATTTAAGATGGCTTCAAATAATTCATCGAAACAACAAATCCTTATGAAGTTCTTCTGTGTCAGGCACCACGCTATGCACTGAAGTTATAGAAAACCAAAACCAAAATGCAAATAAAACAACAATACAACAATAACTAAAACCAAACAAACAAGCAAAGACAAAAACATACAAAGGTCTTGCTTTCATGAAGATTAAATTCTGTTGGTTGAGTGTGGTAGAAATTCATGTTAATAAAACAAATACATATAACGTGATATGGTGGTAAAAACTCTGAAGAAAAAGAAAAACAAAGCAAGGTAGGTGGTAGAGAGTGACAAAAAGGAATGAAAATTGGCAAACTTTCCTTTTACCATTTTCTATTTTCCATCTCTTTTATGAATTGAATATTTAAAAAACTGTAGAGTTGGTCTATTTATGTGTTAGGAGCTGAGATGAAAGCTGAAGAGGAATGTTGAAGAGAAATGATATGCTTGTTGAAAGAAAACTTATTTATGGTATGCATGTCTCATTGGTTAAAGAAAGAGAGCTGAGAGACTGAATATACAAGCTGTCAATGACTAGATCATACATAAAAATAGAACTTTGACCCACAACCTGCAGCAACCTTCTCAGGAAACCAACCCATTGTCTACAATAACCAGCCCAGGAAGCCAGCCTAAGTCAGGCTTGTAGGAAGTCAGGCTACTAGCTCCAGTGGTGATCAAACAATAACCTCTGTAACAATTGACCCAAAGTAACCAGGACTTGCATAATAACTGAGAGCGTTCCTAATTTTTGTCCCTGCTTCCAACTTAGGACCAACCAGAGAAAGCCCAATATACACCCCTAACACATCATTTATAAGATGCCCCACTTCTAGTTAGTTCACCTGCAGCTTCCCCAGGACAATAGCTCCAATCAGGACATACCTGAAGCCTCCACTTTTTTTCAGTATACAGCTTTCCCACTCCTCTGCCTGCCTTTGTATCTCTGCCAAAACACAAGTGATGGTAGCCAACTCCTTTGGCATAGTAAGCTCTAATAAATAACTTTGTTTTTCTAACTTTGTTGGTCTTCATTTTTTTTTCCCACTTTTTTCCCACAGAGCTTACTCACAGGAAATTCCAAGAGAGGGGCCACACTAGCAAACAGCTGGAGCACAAAGGGTTTCCGGTGTAGAATATAGAACTGGTGACAGGCAAATTCGATGGCTTGACGCAGCTGGGGATTGCTTTCATAGTCAGAGTACACCTATGGAGAAATGCCAGATATTCGAAAAATGCCTTAATAAAGTATCAAAGTTGTATTCACTTTTAAAACTCATGGTCATAGGAAGCTTGGAGGGAAATAGCTAACTTCGTAAACTGGTAGAGAGGAATGTAAAGTGGCATAAACTTTCTCTAGATAAATTTAGTAATACACCTCAAAATGCTAAAAATCTAAACATACTTCTTTTCCAGGAAGTTTGTGACTAGGAATTTATCTCAAGGAAAGGACTAGACACTTGTATAAGCATGTATATATAAGAATGCCTGCTGTAAGACTGGTTATAACAATGGAAAACTTGAAACAAATTATTCATAAATATTACTAGCTTAAGTGAATTACAGTATATACAAACCACAGTATACTGTGTAGTAATTTTAAAAATGCTGTAAGGCTAAATGTAGCTATATAAAATGCCTACGATATTCTTAGTGCTATATGAAAAAACTAGGTTACAAACTTGAAAATATATAATTCTGTGTGGGTGTGTGGGGGTGTGTGTGTGTGTGTGTGTGTATATAGGAAAGAGTGCTAGGATTTGGAAGTATAAACAACGATTACCTGGGAGAAAGGATTTGAAGTGGTCCTTATTTTTGCTTTAAACTTTCTTCATCTTTTCAATTTTGTAATGAACATTCTTGCTTTTGGTAATCAGTAAAAAAATACTTACTAAAAAAATAGAGAAAATTGCAACTATCTAAAAATGGGGAAGAGAGTCCTGTGATAGTAACTTTCTTGCCCCCATAGGTTTAGCAAACTTCACTTTGTATAAGTATGGGTTGTGTTCATAATTTTTATCAAAACTTCCTCAAAAATAGAGAACTAGGATGAGCCCCTGGGCCCTGCCTGATTTTATTTAGTACTCCTAAATGTAGCCAGCTATACATTAGACACGAGTAAATAAAAATTGTTCGCTAAATTACCTTCTCGAATCCCATTACATCATATTTACTGGGAATGAAAATCTCTATTCAGTTAGAAGTCAGGGAATCTCTTGGGAGAAACATCAGCTAAACACTTGCTATACATGTGACTCAAGAACAGAATTCCTCAAACTTTCTAAGGCAGTGGTCCCCAACCTTTTTGGCACCAGGGACTGGTTTCATGGAAGACAATGTTTTCATGGACCAGGGTGAGTGGGGGGGATGGTTTCAGAATGAAACTGTTCCACTTCAGATCATCAGGCATTAGATTTAGGAGCATGCAACCTAGATTCCTTGCATGCACAGTTCACAATAGGGTTCTGGCTCCTATGAAAATCTAGGGGTGGGGGTTCCTTACAGGCCACAGACCAGTACTGGTCCATGGCCCAGAGGTAGAGGCTTCCTGTTCTAAGACATCAAAACTACTTGAAGGTCTTGTCAAAAACACAAATTACTGGGCCCTGATCTCTGAGTTTCTGATTCAGTAGACCTGAGATGGGCTCCAAGAATGTGCATTTCTCTTTCTTTAAATTTTTTTTCTTTTTAGAGATGGGGTCTTGTTATGCTCCCCAAGCTAGTCTTGAGCTCCTCACTTCAAGAGATTCTCCCACCTTGGCCTCCCAAAGCACTGGCATTACAGGTGTGAGCCACTACACCTGGCTAGAATGTACATTTCCAACAAGTTTCCAGTTGATGCTGATGCTGCTGGCCCAGGGAGTACAACTTAAGAATCACTGTCCTAGACTAAATGGGAAATATCCCAAGTCTGGGGCTCTCAGAGTAGAAAGGAATATTGTGAACTCTTGCAAATTTATGGGGGGATTTCATTTGTTGCCTTCTGTTGTCACAAAAGAAGATAATAACTCCATCATTAAAAAGTTTCAGTATAGATCTAGGTGAGCAGCTAGATATAAGCAGTACTCATGTTAATTTTCTGGTTAGGAGACGAGGTTCTGGGCACCTGCAGCATGGTGGGGAGAATCCACTGGTAGCCGCTGAGAGAGAAGAGGTGGTTGAAGTGCACCGCGGTATTGATGACGGTGGCAGCGTACTGCCTGAGCAGGGCACTGTCTTCTGGGTGGAGGATCAGAGCCCCGTTAAAAACATTGAGGAAAAGCATGATTTCGTCTCCCCATGGAAACTCGCTCGGCATGCCCAGGAACATTTCCTCCAGGAGCTGGATCCACAAGCTTTTCTGAAGAGTGTCGAGGCCAAACAGTTCCTTTCCAGCTGTGAGAACATGAAACAGCAGAGACAGAATTAGCCCCACACCAATCCTGTCAGCCTGGGAGGTGATCAAACCCAAGGTGCTGCTGTTCTCCGTTTGTTCCAGCTCCAGGATGTGAAGATCTACTGCTGAAATGTTTTTCAGCACAATATTACCGGCCTTAATACAGCACTTCCTGTTTCTCCGTGGACTTTCATCATCACCTCTTAACTAACTGTGGGTAAGGCAGAGCAGGCATTGGCAGTGTTTTACTGCTAAATAAGCTGTCAGTTGGAGAAAAATAAATTATTTCAGCTAGAAAATGGCAGGGATGGGACTGCTGCTTGATCTTTTAATTAATGGTCAGAGGCTACAGCTCTATCTACTCCTGCTGAAGCTGAAGCTTTTTTTTTTTTTTTTTTTGGAGATGGAGTCTCACTCTGTCACCCAGTCTGGAGTGCAGTGGCGCAAATCTTGGCTCACTGTAACCTCCATCTCCTGGGTTCATGTGATTCTCATGCTTCAGATCCCTGAGTAGCTGGGATTACAGGTGCCTGCCACCATACCCAGCTAATTTATTTTTTTGTATTTTTAGTAGAGACAGGGTTTCGCCATGTTGGCCAGGCTAGTCTCGAACTCCTGACCACAAGTGATCTGCCCGCCTGGGCCTCCCAAAGGGCTGGGATTACAGGCATGAGTCATTTTGCCCAGCCTGTCTGAAGCGTCTGGATGAGGGCGATAAAGCACAGGGATGCTAATTTAATTGTCTCAAATTAATAGCCGAGTAACAGAGCAAGGCTCCAAAGTGGGTCTCTTTCTGTGTCTATGTCTCTTTCTCTCAATTGAGGCATTATTTAGAGTAAAATGCAGAGATTTTAAATGTGGAGTTCATTGAATTTTGACAAAAATATGCACTATGCACTCATGTAAGCAACATTCAATCAACATACAGACAATTTTCATCACCCTTCTGCCCCTTTCCAGGAAATTCATTTCCTCCAAATCCAGAGGCAACCACCATTCTGATTTCTATCATTCTAAATGAGTTTTGCCTCTTTTTGAACTTCACACAAATATCTGGTCCTTGTTTAGTCAAGTATTCTCCTACCCCAACAACACCATCCTACCCACGCTTCAACTGTTGATGATTAGCTTAGAGCAGTGGTTCTCAAAATAGGGTGCTTGGGATAGCAGCATCAGCATCACCTGAGAACTTATTAGAAATGCAAACTCTTGGGCCCCATCCTGAAACGCAGAGGTGGAGGGCGGGGCCCAAAAATCTGTGTTTCAACAAGTCCTCCAGGGGTCTCTTGTGCACACTCAGGTCTGAGAGCCACTGGTTTTACGGCACCCTCTGCTGATTCGGATGCTCTCCATTTGAGAACAAAACAAGTGCGTTAGAAAAAGCCCCAGAGAGGCAATGTTTCTTTGTTTGATACCTTGAGGATCACTGAAGAGTGAAAACTCAGCATCAATAGCACTTCGAGGGAATGAGGGCAGGCGGAGGAGGTCTTCCTGAAGCATGGAGACATGGGACTGTTTGTGGGCTGTGGGGATCTTCTGGGTTAGGGAGATGAGAAACAATACCCGCCCTACTTCTTCCAGCTTCCGGGTGAACACCTGGAAAAAATAAAAGCAGGAGCAGACAAAAAGGAGAATTAGAAACTCCAGATTTATAGACAGAAGAAACTGAAGGAAAAACCTTTAATGGCAAACTGGGTTGATAAAGTGGGAAAAGGGGAAAAGTGAAAAGAGGGAGACATGTGTTTTTTTTCCTTTATCAGAAGAAAGAGCAAACAATACTTAATTGCCTCTCACTTCCTTCTGCCTGCTTTACAGAAGGAAATGTAGGAAATGTTCCTTATGGAGTTTTAGGCTGGAGAGGAGCATAAGGCAAGCATTGTCAAGAATAGTTCAATATTAAATAGAGCCCATTTGTTTGGATGCTATAATATGGAAGACCTTCACTAACAGGGAGCCCGTCAGTCAGTTACAATTGCTTCTACCATTGCCACCAATGCCTTAAGCTGTTTCCTGAGAGTTCCGGGTTTGTCTTTTAAAAAAACAAAGACTGATGTGAGATCCAGGAAAAACCTATCTTGGGACAGAAGCTCATGGGTCCTTGATTGGTGCTCCGAGTTTAAAGGGCACCTTTGGTTCTCAGGTCCTTTTCTGTTGATGATTAGGAAGTTTATATGCAGTGAGTAGCTACTGAGGAAACTTCTGAGCTAGACTCATAGGCCTCCATATTATAATCTCCCTGAGGAACTTAGAAGTCTAAAGGCTCTAACTTGAAGTGTACATGACAGCAAGAACTCCATTTGATGGCATTCTTTGACAACTTGTTCTTAAACATGATGAACACACACACTCACACACACACACACACACACAGGGAGAGGGGGAGACAGAGAGAGAGAGACACTAGGGAAGCACCATTACTGATTAGGGTTTTAATTATCTTATCCTAAAATCATGGGCTGGGGTAATTTGGGGAGAATTGTTTTAGAAATTGTTTATATTTAAGATGTAACAGTTTTGCCCAACATCTCACACCTTGCAACACATTCAGTTATTTTCTTTCTTTTAAATAGAATGTAGGTAGTTAGTGGTAGCTATATTTTTAATTACTTAAGTGGTCTAATTCTATGCCATTCTCACTCATTTCATGAAGATGTTTTTGGATATTTTGATGCCAAATTATTATCCTTGATATGTACAGAAAATTGAAATGATCAAATATCCTGAAATTCTTTAAAGATTTTATTTAAACAACGAATGCAATAAATATGCAATATTAAAATTGTATCATTTTTAGAATTGTGTACTAAAGTTATATTTTGCATGCAGAATAGTGACTTTCCTTAAGCTCAAAGTCTGATTTGAGATTAGATGTGAATATTATTCTGTTCTTCAACCTTAAACCTAAGTACAGCTGCTAGACTATATCTCTTCCTGTTTCAAGATAAATTAATAACATGCCCAAGGTCAGATCCCCGGTCAGAGGCAGAACTGGGATGCAGTCCAAATCTTTGAACTTTAGTTTAATGCTTTTCTTTTTCAGGCATACTAGAGTGACCCCTTTTACTTTGTAGCCAGCTAGTGTAAACCACTGGGATAACTTACATAATTACATTATGTGTATTTCCAATCCAATTTTACAGAATGTGAAATGAAAATCTACATTTAGAAAATAATAGGTAAATAAATTAGAATATTTCTATTGTTTATACTCAATAATTCATCATTACACTACTCCAAGTGAGTGTTTCTTAACACCTTTAAGCAATGATCCAATTTGTAAATCTTATACTATTTGGGGGAACAATTTATTGAGTAAGGGCCAACTATGGTCTCCAGAGAGGGTCATAATGGAATCATAGAATCTCAAAGTTGGCAATATATGAACAGATATCTACTCCAACAACATGACAAAACCATGAAATAAAACTGACGTGGTCAGACACCTGTTTCTGAATGAGTTCCTGTCCCTTCTCCGGATGCATATGTACAAGGTTCAGCTGGGGAGACACCGACCTCCGGAAAGGATAAATATCTCGAACATAGGTCTGTGTGAATTACACAAAGAGAAAAAAAAAAGAGTTCAAAAGATTAAACATTTATTCTCATTTCTTCTTTACCCAAAGGTCTAAGTACTAGGATGCTATGCCAGGAAAAAAGCAGCTAAAGGTAGTGTACTAAACAACTCTTTGGAAGACCACTGTAAAGTGATGTCAGCAAGCATCCTGAGGCCCCTTCTGCTCATTTGATCAGGTCAGCATGGTCATGTTTAACATGGTAGAACAGAGATGCAAAACAGCATTCAAATTCCAAATAGACACACACAGGTATTATAAGGGCAACGTAATTTTTCATGTAATAATGATCAATAACTAAGTGTCTTATCTAGCTTATCTCATTTAACTATTACAACTGCTCTAGCATGGATACCATTATCATTACCTTCATTTTACACAAAAGAAAACCAAAGGGTAGAAAGGTGAAGTTGCCAGTCAAAAGCCCCACTGATAGTAAGATGGTGTGACCCAGGTGGTCATACTATTACCTTCTAAGAAGCGATGCCTCCCTGATTATGAGCCACCCTCAGGTAGGCATGATAAGTCTTTGGCACAACTCAACAGGGATGTCATTACTGGTGTCTTACCTTATTGTAGTGGATAAGGTTCCATCGTTTATCCATAAGAAAATAATGTGTTGACTGGGATTCTGGGATGTTAAAAAACTCCAGACACTCCTAGAACAATAGCAACAAATTTTACTAAATGTTTACCAGGAAGATATTATGTCCTAGGTAGTAAGCTGACAGATACAAATTTCGAAAAAACAAGGTAACCTCTTACGAGGATTATATATATATATTGATGTGTTACATAAATTGTATACATTAGATATGTGTGTGTCTTATATAAACTGTATACACTAGATATGTGTGTGTGTATATATGTATACACACACACACACACCATGGCTGCATATATACCCACACAGAGTTATCCAAAGAATGGTACCATAAAGACTGATAATGTGATATAAACCATCTGCTCTCATAGTGTCCAAGATATACGATTATAAATCAGACTGAGTGATGGACTGTGGAGGAACAGTGGCACCTACTGGCCTCAGCATCAGGAAGAAAACATGTTTAGAGAAACATTTAGGAATAATATAAACTATCATGCACTGTGCACATTATATAGTATATACTAGGTATAGATAACTTGTATAACCTGAACCAGTATCTCAGTACTGTTGAAAATGAAACTGAGACTAGAGAAGTCCTATCACTTGATTTAGGTCACACTGGTTGTGGTGAAGGCAGCGTTTGAATGTACTCTGTTTGCCTTCCTGCTATCCCACCATTCATCATGAGTATAGAAATGGAGTAGTTGTTGAAGTTGGGCCTTAGAAATTCTCTGGAGATGTCTGAGTGAAGCCAAAAGGAGCAGTAATGACCCTTTCCACTGAAATAAGATGCATGAGTTTGGAAAAGTTGATTTTTTTCCAGAGGTCTCTTCTACTTACATCTGGGCCCAGAACTGTGTTCCTGAAAATCAGATTACTGACAGTTTACTGACTAAAGTCAGTAGAAGTGGGGAAAATTATGGAAGGAAATAGCATAAGGGAATAATAGTGGGGCAGATTTTAGAAGAGTAAAGAAATGCATAAACATCCATTGAAGGATAGAAAAATGCCATTTTCTTCTAAAATGAATCTTCAATGAGGTGGCCATAGCATTGTCCTTAAAAAAATTATTTCTGTTAAAAGTCATTCCTACCTTCAACAGGGCTTCAAACTGAGTGTCTTCATGGACTGGTAACTGGGTTGGGATATCGCACTCATTCTGTCCATGAACTACCAAGGTTTTAGTACCTACGAAAGATAAAAAGAATAATAAACTGACTTTTGCTATAGGAAAATTTGTATTTCAAAGCATAAAGTATTAAAATATTAACAATAATCTGATGTTTTTACTGTTAATTACAATACTTAATTCATAGTTACATATATATTTATTTATTTATTTTTTATCTGGAAGTTTAATATTAATACATATATATTTTAAATATATTCACTTATTAAAAGTGATAGGTATGGAGTTCTCAATACTTTTTAAAAAGGTTTATTTTTAGTAGAGACAGGGTTTCGCCATGTTGCCCAGGCTGGTCTCAAACTCCTGACCTCAAGCAATTCACCCGCCTCAGCCTCCCAAAGTGCAGGGATTACAGGAGTGAACCACCACGCTCGGCCAAGTTCCCAATACTTCTACCTGTCTTTTACATGCATAATTGTATTTAAATCTCACAGCAACTCCATGATGTGGGCATTATGATTTTTATCTTACAAATGAGGAAAAAGAGAAATGGAATAACTTAAGAGAAATATTTATTTAGTGGAAGAGTTAGACTTCAAACCTCAAGCATTGCAACAAGTAATACATCCCTGTTTTCTAGATGAGGTGACCAGGCAATAAAGGTTAAGAAAATATAGACAGAGATATTAGCAAAACCAAAACAACTACTTGAAATGTAGCTTAAAGCTACATTTTCTGTATTCTTCTTGGCTGATTCAGACAATATTTATTCTACTTCATTCATTAAATTACAAATCTTTGTGAACATTATGATATACATTGACTTTTAGTGAGTTGTCTTTAAGTATGTTAAAAATAGGAGTTTCTTCGCTATAATAAAAACTGATTACTTTTTTTGGATAATCTACAGAACGTATACATACACAATTATCATTTATTGAATGCTTATCATAAGCCAGGTGTGGCAGCAAGTATTTCACATATCTCAACTCATTTATTCCTCACAATCGTGAAGTATGAATTATATCCCTATTTTATACACAAGGCAAGAAAGCTTTGAGAAATGATGTACTTCTTCACAGTTAATACTAGTTATGTGACTAATAAATGGCAGTGCTATGATTTAAACACAGGCTTCTTTGCTGCGAGAACCTGTGTTCTCATCTCTACATAATTCTGTCTTTCACTTTTATTCAATACATGTATCATCTCAAATTTTCTTAGTCACTGCACAAGGATAAAGGGATTGTCAAAATCTTTGTCTTAAGGCAAAACAAGCTATCTGAAGTGAAAAGGAACCGTATCTTGAGTTTACATCACGCTTCATGTTCTTTTGTAATGCTCCTTCTTCCTGCTTTCCCCTTTTCCAATTTTTCATAAAGCCCTTCTCTCATGGAGTTTACAAAGAACTGGAGTCCATGCCATACAAACAATATTATTCTCCTTGCACTGCCAAAAATTCACTCAAAAAAGCTTTCAGTTCAGCTGGCTCTCTGCGATAGACTTAAATAAATCTTCAACCTTGGCAGCCCTTCAAGGACTGATTCATGCGGATCTCAGTTTTGAGTCTCCCTTTTCAGCTGGCAACCGCTGACTTTTTAAAGGGTCTATTGTATTTCCTCTGATTATATTAAACAAAAATTCTTTGAAGCACTAATACTGCGGGCTAGGACTCTGAAAATTTTCTCATGAATGAACGAGCCTCTTAGTCTTTCAAAGGACTATTTATAATTTTTTTTTTTTAAGTTATGTTACTAAAAAGTACTAGTGGCTTACCTGGCATTGAAGCGGTCACCAGGAGCTTCACCTCGCACTGCTCCTTCTTCATTGTCTGCTTGAGATCCTTGAAGAAGAGGCCCTCCACGTAACCCACCACCTCCCACAGGAATGTCAGAGTGGCTGAAATGGCATCCATCCCCCACTCGCAGGGGGTCCGCACAAAGTACATGATTAATCCTACCTAGAAGTCAGGATAAGAAGAATTCACAAAGCCACAATAATCCTGAGCTCACATTCTCATTTCCTTAGCTTTTCTTGTTTTAAACTCGATCTTCTGTGCCTTCGTATTCTCCGTTCAAATGCTTCTGTAACACTTTCAACGTTACCAGGAGAGGGCATAACTGGAAAACTGACCACACAGGCTGCTGTACATTTTCATATATCCCTAAAATGGTGAATTCTTAAGAAAAAAGCAGACCATTCCCCCCGCTCCCCACCCAGGCATCATGTCACTTGGTAGCTAGGTACTTAGGCCATCCAAAATTCATCTGTATATGAAGTTTGCCCAAGCACTATTAGCAGCTTGGATTATGTCTAATAGTCTCAAAGCTAAGAGCACTCTGCTTGGCTAAGTAGGTGAACTTCAAAATTTTTGTGTGTCTTCTTTTTTTTGTTTTTAAATTTAGGGGTACATGTGCAGGTTTGTTACACAGGTAAATATGTCATGAGGTTTGTTGTGCACATTATTTTACCAGCTGGGTTGTTTGCATACCTTCTAATGTAATTTTGAAAAACTGTGTGCCCTTTTGCACTTTTTAAAGTTGACATCTAACATGTCTCATTCGAAATTTATTTTTTATTAATAGGAGGTAGAATATGTTCAGCATTCTATACATTGAAATAAGATGATGACTGACTATAATTGGAATAGTTGATGAAATAAGTTTCAATTATCTTATTCAATAACGTGCAAATATTCAGAAAGAAATAGTGTACTTTTTTTTCTTGTGTGTTTTAGCCACTGTTTCTTCAAAAATTTTGTAGTCCTGGAAAACTTTCTAGTTATGTTGAAAGAATCAGAGTTGCAAACCTAATTTGTTTTGGTGTTCTAAATGCTGGACACCCTAAGGAGGGCCAACTCTCACCCTTAATAGAAATTTATAAAACATAGGACCAGATAGAAAGTCCTATGGGTTAAAGTGCATTGATCAATCAGAAAAATCGATTTCTTAAAACTATTAATAACATAGAATACAGATTCTTTCTCCAACCTACATGCCTGTCAGTGCAGCCTGGCAAGCTCTGGGATGATGGGGTGGGTCTTCCTTGTGTGCGCTAGAATAATGGTTGAGATGGCAGATTTACTCAACAAGTGTTAGTGCGTATCTGTAAGTTGAGCATTTGGAGATTTACTTCTTTTAAAACTATCTGGGCATCAAGGTCTTTTAAAAATATTTTTGTTGCGGAGCTAAAGAATGGAGGAGAGCAATGGTCTGGGCAAGCATTTCTCCTATTCAGTGACCTGGGGGAAGAGGCAGGTACACGGACAAGCGAAAGAAACACTGAAAGCACTCTCGCCTCCAGTCCCTGTTTGGGCTCCTTCCATACCAACCTGGATGCAGTGTAAATTTTAGCAGGGCACACACTTAAACCGAGGGAGGCCCTAACATTTCGCTTTCCAAATCCACCTTTGGTTTTTGTATGGTGTAGACAGAACCCAGAAGTAGTGGATGTTTGGCTGGAAAGCTTTCCAGATAGAACGGCCATAGGCTGTTGTCACTGAGCGGGTTGCTGTAGCTGGTGGACTTCCTATGTTAGAGCCATATGGGACTCATGGCAAGAACTCAAGGGGTCTAAAGCACCCAAAGAAGCTGAGGGGAGGTTGAATCTCCCAGCAAACACTTCCAGGAGCAGACAGGCTTTGAGTGACAGTAGCCATGGACTTGAGTTTGTGCCCATCCAGCAACCAGTCAAAGAACATGGTCTCACAAACGAACGACTCAGATAAAATGCAAGGGGTAAGATGTGGAACGAAGGTCTTTATTCTACCCAACTCCACATAGCTATAGAGACAAAAGCAGTGGAAAGGAGGGAGAATTCCTAGAGACTATGCATTTTTATCCAAGAGAGACTGAAAACCACCAAAAAGTACTGTTTATGTTTTGGTACCGGTCTGAACTTAAATCTGGATTGGGCATTTATTCATTATTTTTTCCCTTGGCAACCAGCAAGTAGACACTCAGGGGGAAGATGACCAAATTAGTCTTAGACAAGAGAAAGGAATTACAAATGTTCTCTGCACATGGGGGTTGTGGTGTGAGTTAAATTTATCACCCTGCTAGGGATGCATATGCATATGGATAACTGAAGGAGTATGCACAGCACAGACACTAATTTGGCTATTGGTCTGCCTGGATTAAGGGGCAGTTTCAAGCAGTAGTCATCAGGTTTTAGTCCCCAAACTGCATATTCATTTGGTGTTTACAAAAAGAATGTGAAGAAATTGGTAAGTCTCAGAGGATCAGGAAAGAACTGCGAGGGCAGTTAAAACTGTCATATATAGCTGCCATGGAAAAATACATACACAGAAACTTTCCATCTAGGACAACAGTTGCATCTGTGTGTGTGTGTGTGTGTGTGTGTGTGTGTGTTTAAACACAGATAGGAAAAGAGGAAAAAATACTAAAAGAACACATGTTTTCACAACAGAAAACCAAAATAAAGAACAAACATAAGGAAGTTATATATTGCTAAAGGAAGACAGAGAGGAAACTGACATTTCTATTGACTGCCCTCCATATGCCAAAGAGTATGCCAGGCAGGGGCTTCCCTACACAGAAAGTATAGGGAAGCGTAGGTGAATTTAGTTGACCAGAATTCGCCTTTAGTGACATAATTAATGGAAATTTATTGAAAAAAAATCTCCTAAGACCTTTTCTTCATAATGCTGCTTCGTAATTGGAAATGAACATTTATAACTCACCAAATAGTTGAATAGGATGTGAGATGTCTGAGCAGGAAAGTCTCCAATATTCAAGAGAAGTTTGCGCAGCATGTACATTAACTCATCCTGAAAGAAGAACGGAATTTTTAATGTTTCCTTCAGCTGCCATGCTGTAGAAAATAAAATTAACTTCTTGAAAATTCGGGATTGGGGGAGGGATTTTTCTTACTTTTGCCCACATATTGATTTTAATTATGTTCAAGATTTTCATACAGTATAGGTGATACTTGTTAAGTAGTATTTAAACCATCTGGAACACCTTTCTCCTAGGAGCTAACACTTAAAAATCACTGAGCAGCAAACGACTTTGTTCTTTTTAAATTGACACTGTGTGTGTAGGTCACAGGCAAGTCACAGGAAAGTTGTATATTTAGTTAACTCTATTGGCCATGGTAGCCTGATATGATGGGAATGTGAGGAAGACCTATGTTGAAAAATCATTAAACAAACCAGGTTTTTGTGAACTTCCTAATTCTGCTTTCTAGATTTTGAGTCAAAGAGAAAAAGAGAGGTTACGAGAGAATAGATTGAAATGTCTGTAATTAACTTTACCTTTCAGAAACTAAACTTAACCTTCCAGTGAATATGACTATAGCATATAAATGAACAAATAATTTTTAATCATCGCTGTATTTTGCCATTGCTTGAAAAACTACTTTTATTTGGCATATTATTCTTACAGGGTGGTCTGACAAATCAGGACTTTGGTTAATGAAAAATTTTAACATATTCTAATAATCATACCTGTATCAGACTGCCAAGCAATCAGAATTCAATGAAAGTACTCAATAGTAGGAACATTATACTTAATTTAATCTTGCAGTATTTTAGGATCCTCACTAGCAATGTAACATACACATATGGAAGCATGAATTAATGGAGAAATTAAAAAGAAAACAGCAATTAAGTATTGCTCATCATTATCATTATTTAAAAAGTACTTATTGGCTGTGTATTGGAGGGCATTGAGTTGCATGCACTGCACTACAAAGTTCTTTGCATGATTTTAACAGTGTTCACACTTGTAGCCACAGAGCTACACTAAAAAGGAAGAGGAATTTACTTGTCTATTGCTGATGGTCAGTTTTTCCAGAAAATGTCGAAGAACCGTTGATGGATCTTCAATTAGACAGTTCCATAAGACTTGTTGAGCCACAGCACTCACTTCAGAAGAGAAAGAAAGTTGAACATTTGTCTTAAATGGAGATAAGTCTATGAGATAAAGTATTTGACAATTTACAAGCTTTAGTATCTCCTTTTTGCCTTAAAAAGGCTCTGTGAACTCTTTTCTCTTTTGAAAGGTAGATATTTGTTCTCTTCGTTGTTGTCTCTGAACATTTTCATATGTAAAGAACAGGTTACCAAAAAGTGTAGGAGTTGTCTTCAGGTATCAGCAATGCTTTTGCAAAGAATATCTCTGTGAATATATGCAATTGTCTTTGTTGTGGAAATCACCCCAATAATAGCAGTAGTAAGCACTTATTAAATTGAAGTCATATTTTATTATTTATTTTATGGAGAAACTGTGAAGGACTATTTGGTTTTTGAAAATATGTTTTGGTTTAGAATGCATATGAATTAGGGATTTTTTTTTTTTCTGTCCACATGAATACTTCAAACAGTATCTCCTTCAGCAAGATAAAGTAGTTGAGCCAGTAACAATTAGGTTCTCACTTCTAATGAGGAAGTCTTAAGAATAAATAATTAATCCTAATGAGAAAGAAAGTGCTATTTCCGTGGGGAAAGTGGTCAGGCTAAGATTGTCTAGAAGTGCCCAGACTAAGAAAGCAGGTGGGTAAAAAAGAGGGCCAGTAAACACCGAATGGTCTTTAGTTTGAACGTGTTTCCCAAATCCATTGGTTTTCAAAAGTAGGAATACAGAATTTAGCATAAAATTATTTCAAATAAATGATACCAATTTTTGATTCAGAAACAAACCATGCAATTAAAGTTAAAGGACATATACATAATATTAACAAAAAATAAATCCAGAGCTGTAGCTTTCATGTGTCTCTACAACTAATTAAAATAGGTGTGAGTTTTTCTCACGTTGAAATTGATTACAAAAATATCTTTACATGTGAAATAAGCCAGGCACAGAAAAATAAATACTGCATGTTTTCACTCTTTGTAGAAGCTAAATAAGTTGATCTCTCAGAAGTAGAGAGTAGAATAGTGCTAACTAGAGACTAGGAAGGGGAGGCAGGAGGGAGGCATGGGAAAGGTTGGTCAATGGATACGAAATTACAGCTAGATAGCAGGAATAAGTTTCAGTGTTCTTTAGCACTGGAGGGTGACTATAGGTAACAGTAATTTATTCTATATTCTCAAATAGCTAGAAGAGAGAATTGTGAGTGTTCCTAACACAAAGAAATGCTATTTGAGGTGAAGGATATGCTAATTACCATGATTTGATCATTACACATTGTATACAGGTATTGAAATATCACTGTACCCCATAAATATGTACATTATGTATCAATTAAAACTTCAAAATGTTCATATTATTTTTATTTTCATTGCTTAAGTAAGGCAGTTTCATGCTTAAAACATGAAAAATACAAAAAAACGCAAGGAGAAAAATAAGACTGGGAAGTCCACTCATCACAGAAACAATTATTAACAGTTTGGAGTACGTCCTTTCACATACATGAAACATATACTTACGTGCATTATTTTATTTTATTTTATTTTTTTGAGATGGAGTCTCACTCTGTTGCCCAGGCTGAAGTGCAGTGGTGCGATTTCGGATCACTGCAACCTCCGCCTTCCAGGTTCAAGCGATTCACCTGCCTTAGCCTCATAAGTAGCTGGGATTACAGGCATGTGCCACCACGCTTGGCTAGTTTTGGTATTTTTAGCAGAGACAGGGTTTTGCCATGCTGACCAGGCTGGTCTCGAACTCCTGGTCTCAAGTGATTCGTCTGCCTTGGCCTCCCAAAGTGCTGGGATTACAAGCATGAGCCACCATGTCCACTCTACTTACATGTATTTTAAAATAGTACTATATGTAGAAAATATTCTTTGATATTTGGTTTTTTACTTAGCAATATATTAACACTTTTTATATTAATATTCATCTAGAATGCAATTCCAGTGCTCACAGAATGTTATTATATGGAGGTACTATGATTAACTATGATTAGGGATTTATAGTCTTTCTAAAATTTTTTATTTTAAATAATGATCAATGTACAACATCCTTTATATAGCCCTCATGAATGTCAGGAAATTGCTAGAAGCCAGATCTATGTCAAAAGTTTTTCACACTTTTGAGTTTTTGATACATATCATGAAACTCTGTTCTAGAATGCTTGTACAGAGTTTTATACTTCATCAGCAAAGTATGAGGATGCTCTTTCTCCTGCTTTTTCGCCAGCAATAGATATTTTCATTTAAAATAATCTTTGCCAACTTTGTAGCCAAAATGTAAGATTTAGTTACTGTTTTAAACAACAATGTTGTTTCCAGGTGTTACTGGCCATTGGATTGCCTGCTTATATCCTTTGCCCATTTTTCTAATGGGGTTTTAAAAAATCATGAATGAGTTATAAGAGCTTTTCTAAATGTAATGTTAAGAAATTAACCTTTGTCGTCACAAATGTTACTCATGTTTTCCCTTACTTTATTGTTTCATTTTGCAATTATTCTTTTTAGGTAGTTAGTACATCTGGAAAGGTAATCACATAAGAGAGATGGTATTAGTGGTGTCAAGTTAATAGCTAAAAGTGACTGTTTGATTTCTATGTGGCCAAATTAGTGTTCTGTTCTCTGGTCACAAACAATGCTCCTGGACCCAACTATCTATTTTAAATGCAATTTTTTGGCCATAAAGGTAGAGGGAGAAGGAAGTGGAGAGAGTGATAGTGTTAGCGCAGTATGTTGGAAATCTGTAATTATAATATATGCATAAAACAGTTCAACACGTGGTCAGTAATGTGTTTAAGAGCAACCTACTGTCTTCTATCAGATAAACAGCTTAAGAATATCACTGATGATCCAACTGTTCAAAACTGTACCTGCTACTCCATCTTCCCGCACCTCACCATCCTCCATCAGATGAACAATGGGAAGTACTGCTGCACAGATGCATGCTGGGAACACTGCTTGTGGGGGCTGAGGCACATGGTGGTTTGGCGTGTGTTCAGTGGTATGTTCCTCATCTAAAATGGGAGACAAAATCAGGGTGCTTTTCTCAGTAATGTAATTCTTTGTTGTTATTGTTGTTTTGAGACAGGGTCTCACTCTGTCACCCAGGCTGGAGTGCAGTGGCATGATCACCGCTCACTGCAGCCTCGACTTCTTGGGCTCAAGAGATCCTCCTGTCTCAGCCTCCAGAGTAGCTGGGACCACACAGGTGTGCCACCACATGTAATTTTTTTATTTTTTGTAGAGATGAGTCCTCATTATGTTGCCCAGGTCAGTCTTGAACTCCTGGGCTCAAGCAATCCTCCTACCTCCACCTCCCAAAGTACTGAAATTACAGGCATAAGCCACTGCATCTGGCCTCAGTAATGTAATTTTAATGCAACATTTCTCAGTTCAAGGCCTACTTATTTAACAGCATAATCCTACCAATGAGAAAATGCCAACATTTTAAAAAAGATGACATTACACAAAGTGCCTCTTCATTTTATAACAAACAAAAAAACCAGGCCACTTTCCAAGTACCACTATTCTTGTTTGGTAGAGAAGCAAAGCACAGACATTCTGGGACATGTGGATCAGCTCAGAACGTTAAATCAATGAAGATAAAATTCTAAGCAGAGACCAAGACATTTTTCATAGATGCAACTGGTTGTGTGCATGTAAGTGTGTGCAAGATGGTAAGCAGTAATATGGGGTAGAAGAAAACACACATGCATTTAGGATAAGAATGGCCCACTCATATTAATGTTTTCATCCTCATTGATAAATACAATAACAAATTAATAATAAATATAATTGCATATAGGAATAAAGGAAAAAGTTTAGATTTAGTAGGCGAGGAAGATAGAAAAGGTATTTAACAGCTTATTAATATGAAAATATACATGTCATTTTTCTAAAGCACTAAAGAACTGTGAGTGTTTGATTCTCATATTAAAACTTACATGGCTATTTGGGATTTTAGAAGGCCTATGGACTAGAGGGTAAGAGACTTATACTGTCATTCTCAGTTCTGGCTTTGAGAGGTGAAGCCAGCTGAGCTTCTGGGTTGGATGGGGACTTGCAGAACTTTTCTGTCTAGCTAAAGGATTGTAAACACACCAATCAGCACTCTGTAAAATTGCACCAATCAGCACTCTGTGTCTAGCTAAAGGATTGTAAATGCACCAATCAGGACTCTGTAAAATTGCACCAATCAGCACTCTGTGTCTAGCTAAAGGATTGTAAATGCACCAATCAGCACTCTGTAAAAACTCACCAATCAGCACTCTGTATCTAGCTAAAGGATGGTAAATGCACCAATCAGCACTCTGTAAAATGGACCAATCAGCACTCTGTAAAATGGACCAATCAGTGCTCTGTAAAATGGACCAATGGATGTGGGTGGGGCCAAATAAGGGAATAAAAGCTGGAATAAAGTAAAGGAAGGGAATAAAAGCTGGCCACCTGAGCCAGCAGCGGCAACCCACTAGGGTCCCCTTCCACACTGTGGAAGCTTCGTTCTTCCACTCTTCACAATAAATCTTGCTGCTGCTCACTCTTTGAGTCTGCACTACCTTTATGAGCTGTACTCACTGTGAGGGTCTGTGGCTTCATTCTTGAAGTCAGCAAGACCAAGAACCCACCAGAAGGAATAAATTCTGGACACAGCCTCATAGTAGATGCATACGGAAATCTTTAAAAATGTGTATAGATATAGTGGGCCAAGCACTTCTGGAACAGTGGAGTATAGATCCCTGAAATCTGTTCCTCCATAAAAACAATGAGAACACTGTGAAATACACTTTTTTTCGGAGCTTTCAAAATTAACCAAAAGCTTGGAACTATTTGAGGACCATGTATTAAAAAAACAAACAAACAAAAAAAAAACAAAAAGGAAAAAGAAAGGTAAACTCTTGATAAGACCAGTAGTATTTCTGGCATTTTAACTTGCCCTACTTACTCACCTCTCCCTCTTCCTAGGTCCTTAGGAGCCTTGAAAATTGACAACCTTGCAACCATTGTAGCTGTGAAAACCAGCAGCCTAGTAGCCACTGGATGGGCAGAGCAGTTTTGGGGCTCCCTAAAAGCCTCAACACCAGAGAACTGTCACTACTTGACCTATCTAGAACCCCATGGAAAATCCCTATTCACAGGATTTGTCTTTATTTAGCTTGACTCAAAGCTTACTTAGTGCAAATAGCTTTATCCCCAGGGCATTTACAAAAAAAAAGAGAAAAAATCAGCAACAATTACTTAACATCGTAGCTGTCTGAGGTGTTCATATCAGTTGGGAGAAGCTGGAGGCTGACAAAAAACTTAAAAGGGAAATCTGGGGAATGAGATTTCTAGAGGGCTTGCAAATCACTGACATATTCCTGGGTATCTAGATGGCTGTACATGTGTACAATGTTGTGCACATGCCCAGGAAAGACCTGAGAAATTCCTGATCTCTCATATTTGGCTAACCTTTAAACTCTACACAAACAGAAAGTACAAAAATGAAGGCTAAGGCAGAGTTTTAAACTACTGGAACACTGAAGATGTGCCTCAACACATCCAAAGTGGTCCTCAGTAAAGGCTGGAAGACCTGGAAGACTTATTAGTTCAAGGCACTTAAAATCTCTGTCTAATCATTACCTGACCACTAATGCAACCAAGTGGGGATTTCAGTGCTCATACTCAACAAAGCTTAGGGACTTTACAAAATTAGTCAAGGAAAATTACTAAACAAACAAAGAGCAACACAATAACAACAAAAAACCCTCATGAGGAAAGGGGGACAATTGATTTGCAGAGTTGCCACATTATATAATTCAAATTGTCCATTTTTCAATAAAAGTTATGAGACATATAAGAAACCAGGAAAATATTGCCCATATACAGAAATAAAAGCAGTCAACATAAACTAACCCTGAGGAAGCTTAAATGTTGGACTTACTAGACAAAGATTTTGTCAACTATTATAAATATGTTTTATTTTAATATGTTATACATTTTATATAAAACATATTATCTTATAAAGTTATAAGATAAAGGTATAAATAAAACTATGTCTTTCACGTGGCATATCTTATATATTAAAATGGCAGACATAAATCTTACCTTATCCAAAACTGCAATAAATGTAAATAAAGGCAAAATTAGCAGAATGGATAAAAACAAACAAATATGAATCAACTGTTATGTTCTAAGATACATAATTTAGTTTTAAAGACACAAATAAGATGAAAGAAAAGGATGAAAGAAGATATGCCATACAGACAGCAATAAAAAATGATGTGGAGTATCTATGTTAACATTAGAAAAAGTATACTGTAAGTGAAAAATTTTTACTACAGGCAAAACAGAGCATGTTATAATGATAAAATGATCAATCAGAAAGACATAACAATTATACAAATATCTGCATATCAAGATTTCATGGTATTGAGAGAAGGATTGACATACAGATCAGTAGAACAGAAATGAAAGACCATAAATACACTACTACATTCACGTTCAATTGATTTTTGACAAGGGTGCCAAGAAAATTCAAGGGAGAAGAATAGTCTTTTCTATAAATAGTGCTGGGACAACTAGTTATCTAAATGTAAAATTCTAACTCATAATATAACAAATATTAACTCAAAGTTGATCACACACCTAAATATAAATGCTAAAACTCTTAGAAGAAAACATAGGAGTAAATCTTTGCGACCTTGGATTAGACAATTGTTTCTTAGATATGACACTAAAAGCACAAATGACAAAAGAAAAAACACACACATTGGACTTAATTAAAATAAAAAACTTGTGTGCCTCAAAGTTACCTTTAAGAAAGTAAAAAAGACACTCGCTTCTCAGCCTTTTGGCTAAGATCAAGTGAAGAAAGTAGAAAGACAAATTATGAAATGGGAGAAAATATTTGCAAATCATATATCTGATAAGTGACTTATATACAGAATGTGTAAATAGTTCTCATAATTTAACAGTTAAAAGACGAATTGCTAGGCCGGGCGCGGTGGCTCAAGCCTGCAATCCCAGCACTTTGGGAGGCCGAGGAGGGTGGATTATGAGGTCAGGAGATCGAGACCATCCTGGCTAACACGGTGAAACCCCGTCTCTACTAAAAGTACAAAAAAATTAGCCAGGCGTGGTGGCAGGTGCCTGTAGTCCCAGCTACTCGGGAGGCTGAGGCAGGAGAATGGCGTGAACTAGGGCAGCGGAGCTTGCAGTGAGCCGCGATCGCGCCGCTGCACTCTAGCCTGAGCGACAGAGCGAGACTCCTCTCAAAAAAAAAAAAAAGACTAATTGCCCAATTTAAAGTGGACAAAAGATTGAATGAACACACTTTTACCAAGAAGATACACATATAGTCAATAAGCATATGAAAAGATGCTCCATATCGTTTGTCATTAGGGAGGTGCAAATAAAAATCACATTGAGTTACCACTTTACACCCATAGGGATGGTTAAAATTAAAAACAAAAACAAAAAAAAAAAAACTAGGGACACACACTGAAATCAGCTGAGGAGGTTTTAAAAACATTGATGGGTCTTACCCTCAGAGATTTTGATTTGGTCTTAGGTATGGTTGGAACTTTTTTTTTAAGCTTCCCAGTTGGTTGTAATATACTGTAGCTAGGTGGAAAACTATTAACTGTCTAGAATAATGTATTCTGAACCCTCAGCAATATGATTACATGCAATGTAATTAAAATAGAGCCAACTTAAAAATGACATTGCTGAGGTAAATCAACAATTTTTTTTTAAAGAATGTCATGCTAATTTTTTTAGAATGTCAAGTCATGAGACAAGTTATTTAATGAAGACAGTGTAATCAAGTGAGATAATGATATTAACTAGGAAGTGTTTCAAACCATGTAAGTCAGGAGAAATAAAACGTATGCAAGAGGACACACCTTCAGCACTGACGGCTGAACGCACTGACCAGACTGACCCGCGGCGGAAGGAATAATTCCTGTGGGAAGTGCTGGAGGTGCAGGATGGACTCACAGACAGTCGACGGGATGCCAGATTGGTGACTTCTTCTACTGGCAAACAAAATGGGGAATGTGAACTTTGGCTTTATAACAAAACAGTTATCATTATCACATTGCTCTTATATCACAAATGCTTACTGCTCTCAGACCATAAGGCTTAAATTTTTTTGAGTGTACTTAGAAAAGGAAAAATTAAAATTAAAAAAGCTCTACAGAGGAAAGACAGAAAATATCCCCTGAAGTTTTTACAAAAGCAGGGCAGAGAATCACTCAATTCAGAATGATTAATCATTTTTTGATACCAACTGACAAACTGCACTTGTGAAGGTTGAAAGATTGGTTGCATTTACTTTAATACACCTACTGGATTCAGCAGTTCCTCAAGTCATTGATTTAATGTAACTAATGTCTGCCTCTGAAAATGGCTAACTCTAAACTTCAGAAAGTTTGGTTAGTGTCAGGAAGTGAGAGAGAGACGGAAGGGGGCATATCACCTCATGTCACATAAAATTGTCAATGTTAATTTCAGAGCACATTATTTCCCTGAGACTCAGCCCCCCAAGAAATCCTGTGTGCAGAGGGCACCTTCTTCTTCCGGCTCTGAGCTGGGCGTGCATGTGGGCTCATAGCAAGCCTCCTGGGTGATGGGGATGGCGGTGATGAGGCTGGCTTCTCGACCAAGACGTTTCTTTTCTTCCTCCTGCTGCAAGTTCTTTAAGATGTGTTCTGCCCTTTGATGGGAGCGGGACACAGCCCGGGCTGAAAAGGATTTCTGTGGAGACATAAAGGCAAGCTCATTTAATAGCAATTCTTCTGCAAGGTCACAGGCATAAAGAGTGTTCGAATGAATCACACAAATGTAGTAGTTTGTCCTCAGGAAATGTCAGGATACCCATGATCCAGTTTCATGGATATTTGTCTTTTTACCAAATTTCCAAGCTGCGTACAGTTAAGCTATTTTTTTTTTCCTTCAATCAGAATGATTCTTCAAGAACATCTATAATTTCTGGAAAGAATCCTATTTCATCTTAGGATTTGGGGGGATATCAATGATTTCCTGTTTAAATATTAAGATCAAATAAAATTTATAAGTACTCCATTCCTTTCTAGAATTTTTTGATCTGTTTTTAAAAGGACATTTATTTTAGGCTGGGTGTGGTGGCTCACGTCTGTAATCCTAGCACTTTGGAAGGCTGAGGTGGGTGAATTACTTGAGGTGAGGAGTTCGAGACCAGCCTAGGCAACATGGTGAAACCCCGTCTCTACTAAAAATACAAAAATTAGCTGGGCACGGTGGCACATGCCTATAATCCCAGCTACTCAGGAAGCTGAGGCATGAGAAGTGCTTGAACATAGGAGGTGGAGATCACACCACTGCACTCCAGCCTGGGCAACAGAGCGAGACCCTGTCTCAAAAAAAAACGAAGGACATTTATTTCATAAGGTTAATAAAATTGAAAGTCAGAACCAAGGAAAGGAGGAAGAAAGAGATCTCTCATATAAGCCAGTTAGTTATATGGCTTATTTCATTTCTGTAGCTCAAGTATCTGTCACACTATAAACACTTAATAATATTTGTAGGAACAAAGTTATGGAATGAAAATTATGAGAGCTGATAGTGTTACTAAGGTTGAATATAAAATCTGACTCTAACAGTAGCTAAGGCATACTGGAAAAATATTAAGAAAAACTCACTCCTCCATAGATAAAGGATCAGGAACAATGAAGAAAAGAAGATTCACTGTAAAATAGCTATTCTATTCATGTCTTAATCATGATGCTTATGCCCAGACAAATTCCAAGAGCTCCAAGAGCTTTGAAGACAGAGTAAGTGGTCCCTGAGTAGAGAAGTGATCACTGGAGTTCTTCTCTAACCTCTTGAAGTAATGTTTATACACAATGGCAATTCCACATCTCTTTGTTGGCTTATAGTCACACGGTGTTCAAGAGACAGGCAGGGGATGTTGATCACTCTTCTACAGGGCTGCATTTGTAGACAATCCCTTTATGGAGGATCTTAACGTAAGACTAAAGGTTTCCTATGTTGAATGACAGAGTAGCAATTGAGAGCATTTTTATTTTACTTTTTATTTTTTATTTTTTTGAGATGGGGTTTCGCTCTTGTCACCCAGACTGGAGTGCAATGGCACAACCTCAGCTCACTGCAACCTCCACCTCCTGGGTTCAAGCAATTCTCCTGTCTCAGCCTCCCAAGTAGCTGGGATTACAGGTACCTGCCACCATGGCCAGCTAATTTTTGTATTTTTAGTACAATCCATTTTCAGAGCCAGGTAGCTAAGCTGGTTTATTATATTAAGGCATAAGGTAAGAACTGTGGAATGAGAAAAATAACTGGATATAAAATCAAGGGACTTGATTTCAAATCTGCAGTGAGCTTGGAATACAGACTGTGGCCAGCTCAGATGAACCCATAACCTCTTCAGGAGAAAAATCAAAGATCTTTATGTTGGTGGCTCAGATGCTGAAATTACTGCCCGTGTGGGAGAAGAACCAGGTGTGTATTTCCCTTCGGCAAGGTACCATCACATATGAAGGTAGAATTAAAATAAAATGGGCATACTGTGATAGGAAAGAGTTTAAAAAACAGTTCTCCAAAGAAAGCTACAAATGCCTAGAAATGCTATGAGTAATATGGAAAGATGTTCAAACTAATTTCATATATTCAACTAAGTTTTTCAAAGAAGTGTGAATAAAATAAACAGTAAGTGGTTTTTGGCCATTCAAAGTGGCAATTAAAATAATAACACTAGTTAATAAGATACTTTTCAATTCTACTCTATAAGGACAAAGTGATATGACTTTTCTGGGGATATTTTGTGAGATGCATCAAAAACCTTTAACAATTATTATTTTATGATTGCCATAAATCCCCTAGGAATTTATGCAAGGAAATAATGATAGATTTGTGCAAAGAGGTGTTCTTTTTTCTATTTTTGCTTTACTTTCCAAATTTTCTACATTACTCTTGTAATTTAGAAAAATACTATTAAACAGGTGAAAAATGCATATTTTGAAGATCAGTGTTTTCAAAAGGTGCATATTCTTGTTTTTTGTCTATAAATGGACTGTGTTCTAAATCTGGCCATTTATGAGTTATATTACACATAGCAGTAATAAGAGCAGGGGTCTCAGAGTGATGTCTGTGATGATGATACTGATGATCGACAAAATGAAGAATAAACCAAAGTTCAAACAAGGAAATAGCTGCCAACTCTCCTCTTTTTCTTATTTTTTCAGGGCTAATGTCTTTAACTCGGATTCCATATTATTGGTTAAATGTGTATGTTTTTATGCAATAAACAGAGGCAAAAGGGCTACCTTTGGCCAAGAAATCAATGCCTAATGCTTTCAGTAGCTTTAAAAGGTGGATTATAAAACAAGACTTTTTTTTTTTTTTTTTAAGATCTGCAAGTGCTCACTACTGGATATTATTCCCTCTATTATATTCACAAGGACAAAGACTTTTTGTGCTAAGTTTCTGTGTTATCATTATATTCTTAGGATGAGAATGAACAAATTACTGCAAACATGAATTGTTCTCTTTTACATGTACACCATGGAACCTGGAGATACTGGAATGGAAATGTGTGTTACTCACAGACTGGTCTTCATTAATGGGGTCCTGGACACTCCCGCTGCACTGAGGAACCCAGGGAGGGTCAAACATTGGGACAGATGGCATTCCAAGCACCGGCGAGGGAAGGGTGAAATTGATACTGGGAGGCGGAATCTGTTAGTTGACATCAGAAAAATTAGGTGACAGGGAATATAAGCTAGAATGAGGCTGAAGTATAATAATGACACAATCTGTCTTAGGAAGTGTTAAGGATCCAAGTGACTTCGCACAGAATGTGCAAGAATTTTAGAAAAGGGCTATTTGCCAAGATTTTCTGTTACAGAGCATAGGATGAACCTATCTGGGCCTCAGTTTACTAATTCATTAAAGGCTTTCAATCAAATGATCTCTATTTGAGTTTATCACCCATCCTCCAAAACACACCTGTAAGTTTATATATAGCAAAATGATTAGAAGATAATTCCCCAGACTTTCATATGCTTACCTCTGGAAATGCTGGTGAGATTTTGAGGTTTATAGAGACTTGATTTTCTTACGCTGTACTCTTCTGTGTTTTAATTTTTTAACAGTAGGAATACATTCATGTATGTTAGGTTTACTTATATAATCAGAGAGAAAAAATTAGAATATCTTTGGCCACACATTGTGACTCTGAGGTTCAAGGGTTTAAACAAACCGTAGTTTGGGTTTGCTAATGTAACTCCTCTGTGAGAAGTATCCCTCACCTTAAAAATCTGCTGTGCTCCTTCCTCCATCCGGGGCCAGACCTGATAGCGAAACCTCCAGAGCGTGTGGAACTTGAGGACAGCGTTCAGCCTCTGCACAGTCTCTGGGTGTTGGAACTCTGACATCAGCATGTCGGACACGGCCTCAGGCACCTTCACTGCACACAGCAGGAACATGGCAGCTGGAGACAGTTAATATTTCATCAGTTATGCTTTCAAAATGCTGCTTAGTTCCCGGGGTTGGGGAGAAGTGGAAACTGCTTCTATCTTGTGAAAATGACTCCTGAGCTATATGGAGCTCGGCTACCAGCACTGGCAAAAGTAAACCTTTGTACCACCCACAGCCTTCCAATAGCTGGTGCGAGGGCAGCAACAACATGACATTTCAGTAGAATCACTCACGCTAAGCAAAGTTTCCTTTGACTCACAGTGAAAAGCTAATGCCAGAGGAAGCAAATGAAGTAAGAAAAGTGCATCTTGAAGCATGATTTTTAGGAGATGGCTAGAGTCATCTCTTAGTAACCCAAGGATAATAAATAAAGTTATCCTTTAAAAACTACCTCAGTTACACTGGCTACATTTTTAAAATTCCACATCATAGACTTTATTAGAAACATATATCCTTCCCAGAGATAGAAGAGGTTGAGAAGCCAAAAGAGATTTAATGAGTCATAATACCATGAAAAATTTTTGTGAAAAGCCAAATATCAGTAAGCGAAAGGCCAAGTTCCATGATAAGTTATAAAGCTAATGAATAATAAGCTTTATAAATAAACTTTATAATACAGATAGAGGAGCCAGTGGCAGTTATAAAAACATACCCTACATGATTATGTCATGAATCTCTCATGTTCTCTTTCACAGAGCATAACAATGTGCTTACGCAGCTGTGCCAGAAGAAGTGGGGTTAAATCCTAGTAGTTCTGATACTTCCCCGCCAAAACATCTTGGGCAAGCCTCTTAACTTATCTTAGCTTCCAATTTTCTTTATTGGTAAACCTCCCAGAAGAACAATAGTGATAATGATAATACTAATACCTTTTAGAACAATAATAATACTAATACCTGCTTCCAAAGTTGTTTTTAGAAGAAAATAAAAGAATATATAAGAAAGTGCTTTGTGTAGTGAAAAGTACAACACATTTCTAACGCATGTTGTTTTTTAAAAATAGAGGTAATATAGTTGTAATGGGAAGGGCATCTATCTGTGCAGTCAGAAAATTTGGGTTTGGTGTCCTTGCCCTTTGAGCTGTGTGAACTTAGATACGTCCTTTCAATTCTCTGACTCAAGTTGGCTCATCTATAGAATGGTTTATCAATAAGATAACGAATATGATCTAGTTCTATAACAAATGCAAGTTATTGTAATCACTATCTTTTGATAATACTTTTCTTTAGCCTACTAGGTGCTTAAATCTCCACTCTTTCTTTCTTTGCTTTTCTTTAAAACGTACTCTACCCTGCCTCACTTTATAAACACTAGGCTCATTCTTTAAGTCACTGCAGAGTTCCATCTTAATCTCATGAAAAAGTTTTCTTGTAATGCTCACAAATCCTCAGATCCAAAGGTAGTTTTATAGCAGTTGTTTCCTTTCAGTTTTTAATACCTTCATAACAATCACCTTGAAGAACTATTTTCCTTTGCTTCCACAGCTTGAGATTATTTGAGTTGTGTACTTTTCTCATCACTTTTTCTAGCTGGGCTTCTTCCTTTGGTCCTCTAGACGTGGAGAAGACCAGTGGCTTAGTGGTTATTCCTCATCTCTTTCTTCTCTACTGACCCTCTCCCAGAGAGCCCATCTACTCTCATTATTTCAGCTGTCAGGTATATCAACTTGTTCCCCAAGTTAACCTCTAACTTTGGCCTTCCTCTTTAGTTTCAGTGTCATGTCACCAACCATATATTACCAACTCTCCTTCATCTAAAAATTACTATTTCTTTTTGAAAAAATTTTAAAAATTTATTTTACAAATATGTACATAATATTTGTACACATAGAGTACATGTGGTAATTTTGTTATAAGCATAGATTGTAACGATCAAGTCAGATTATTTAAAATATCCACCACCTCGAGTACTTACTGTTTCCATGTGTTGGAAACATTTCAAGTCCTGTCTTCTAGCTATTTTGAAATATACAATACTTTGTTGTTAATGATAGTCACACTACTGATAGTCACACTACTATGCTTTTGAACATTAGGACTTATTCCTAACTGTACATTTGTACCCATTAGCCAGCTTCTCTTCATCCTTCCTCTACAACAAAACACTAGTTTTAAAACCAAAGTATTCCACATATTGCTGCAGTATCAAACTTAGTAACAATTCACACTCTGTATACAAGATTGCTCTATGACTCAGAAGCCACGACTGGTTTTTCACAATTCAGTGCAAGGTCCACAGTCATAAGCCTGATATTCAAAGCCGGTTACAAGCTGAGTCCTACTCACCTTTCTAATATTATGCACTCGTGACCCCTCTACAAAAGCCATGCTAGTCTTCAGTCTCCTCAGGCTTCCCAAAAAGCCCAGTGCACTTCCACATTCACCCAGTTTTGCACCCACCATTTTCCCCGCCTGGCTAACTTCTAGGTGTTCTTTAAAAGCCAGTCCATTTGTTTATATTTAAGTTTCCATGACTATCCCACATTTGGGAAGTGTGCCATTCCCTGAACTCCCATAGTGCTCTCTGAGAAGCAAAAACCTAAGCTTTAATGTGAACAAAGATATTTTACCAAGATATTTATTGCAGTGTGGTATAAAAGAGCAAAAGGCTGGACTCCACCTAAATTTTCATCAATAGGTCTTGGTTAAATAAATTATGATATGTCTATTCATTCAGTGGAATATTTTGTAGCCATTAAAAAGAGGCAAAACTATAAACTGACATTTAAAAGCAGTCTGCTAGACATAAATGAAAAAATTCAAAGTGCACTTACAGCATGTCCCATTTGCATGAAAAACAAAACATGCAATATATAACTTACATACACACATACATATATGTGTGTGTGTGTGTGTGT